GTGCACGTGTCTCTTTCAGATCTGGTTTCCTTGGTGTGTATGCCCAGAAGTGGGATTGCTGGGTCATATGGCAGTTCTATTTCCAGCTTTTTAAGAAATCTCCACACTGTTTTCCATAGTGGCTGTACTAATTTGCATTCCCACCAACAGTGTAAGAGGGTTCCCTTTTCTCCACACCCTCTCCAGCATTTATTGCTTGTAGACTTTTGGATAGCAGCCATCCTGACTGGCGTATAATGGTACCTCATTGTGGTTTTGATTTGCATTTCTCTGATAATGAGTGATGTTGAGCATCTTTTCATGTGTTTGTTAGCCATCTGTATGTCTTCCTTGGAGAAATGTCTGTTTAGTTCTTTGGCCCATTTTTTGATTGGGTCATTTATTTTTCTGGAGTTGAGCTGGAGGAGTTGCTTGTATATTTTTGAGATTAATCCTTTGTCTGTTGCTTCATTTGCTATTATTTTCTCCCAATCTGAGGGCTGTCTTTTCACCTTGCTTATAGTTTTCTTTGTTGTCACACCTGGACTCTTACACATCCTATTCTTGTTTTTTTTTTTTTTTTTTCAGATTTGCAGAATAGAGAAAATGGCCCTACAGCTGCTAATATGACTTTCTCAACAGAAAGACTAAAACTCCCTCGGGGAGGGGCTTGCAGGTTTGGAACAAAGTCATAAAAACAGCGGTCAAACTGCTCTAGTTTGAGTTCATCCCAAGTCTGAAGGGCCCATCAGGGTAAGGTGAATAATGAGGGTGGGAGATGGGAGCCCTGGCGTGAGGAGAGGTCGGGATATGGGGAATCTGGGCTGAGGACAGGCACCACCCGGGCCCATCCGGCCAGTCCTGGCAGATAAGCAGATGGGCAGGACCTCTGCAGACTGAGTGGTCCAACTCGCTCTTCCTTGCAGAGGAGAAGAAAGGGGAGTGATGTCCCTGGAGGAGAGGTGGACGATGAGAAGAGGGTAAGAAGGAGGCGACTGAGACCGAGGGAAGTCGAAGGCCACCATCTCTCAGGAGCAAGGGTTCCCGGGTTGTTTGCACCCCCCACCCCTCCCCCGTCCTCCTCCCCCGCTTCCGGAGTCCAGGAACGGTGGCCTCTGTGATGGGTGGGGAATGTAGGCTGGAGAAGGGGGAGGTTTGGAGGGTGAGCGTCTTGCGGGACCCGAGGAGCCGATGGATAGGTGCCCAGGGCCCCCCCCTTGCTCAGGGGTGCTGAGAGGAAACGCCCCAGTGGCCCCTTCTGCTCTCCACCCCGTACCTGGAGACTCAGAGGACCCGGATCTGCCCCTGCCAGAAGCTAGCAGGGACTTTCCAGCCTTTTCTGGCAGCTCCCAGGGACTGGGCACAGGGGACGTCCCCAGGGGTGCCTTGAGAGCCTGTGGATAGGTTGGACCTGCCTTTTCAAGGAATGACTGTGCAGAGCCATAGCAGATTTAGCCCCTGAAAACTGAGGCTGTTTGTTCCAAGGACCCAAGGTCAAGCCCCAGGGCTCCCCTGTACAGCCCCAGGGCTTCCACTCAGGAAGCTGAGTAGTCCAGCTTCCCGCTGCTCTTAACCTCGTTCTGTTGCTGCAGATCCAGCCACCTCCCCAAGCTAAAGGCTCTCCCAAAGGCCCTCCTACCTTGCCCGCTGCCCACCATCCTCAGCCTCAACCCACCACCCACAGTCTCTGACCTTCCAAGACCGCCTACATCCTCACCCTGAGGACAAAGAATTGTAGCCAAAGAGCAGCCTGGGGATAGGACAAAGATCCCTGAGGCTGAATCTTTTCCACTAGAATCTTGCCTCATTCCTCCAGACCCACTGATACAAGGAAGCCCCCCAGTCTTGCAGACCCGGGAGGACGCCCAGCTCAGTTCTGTCCCAACTTAAAGAAACCCAGTTGCCTGCAAACCAGGGCCGTGTGGCCTGCGTGGAGGAGGGCTGGTGCTGGAAGCCGTTCTTCCAGAGTAGGGTTTGGCATGCTTCTCCTGTGAATGGCCAGATAGTAAATATTTTAGGCTATTTGTGGACCACAGTCTTCTGTATCAGCTGCTTAATTCTGTGCTGAAAGCAACCAAAGGCGGTATGTAAATGAATGAGCCGGTTGTGCTCCCAGAAATTTTTACTTAGACACACTGAAGTTTGAATTCAGATGATTTTAAAGTGCTACACAATGTGGTTTTCAAAAAAATTTTTTTAACGTGAACATTCTTAGCTCATGGACCATACAAAAACAAGTGGCAGGTCAGAGTTTGCTAACCCCTGTTCTAGATAGTACCATGTGCTCCCCGAAACAGCACATAAAGAAAGGATGTGTGCTTTCTTCCAAAAGTCACAATGGACTGAAATGGGTCTGAGTTTAGTGTGCAAGGATCACCAGATGTCCTTCTGGCCCCACCCCAAGACCACCTCTGGCTTTTTCTCCCTCTGACCTCCAACGAAAGAGAAGTAGTGCTGGATTTTCACACCTGTTTGTAGCTTTTGAAACCTCTGCAGGCAAACATTGGTCAGTTGTCCTAAACTCCATCTGTCTCAAGCCCTGGTCCTAAGCTGAGACCTGTCTTCCTCTAAAGCCATCAGGCTTCCCTGGCGGCTCAGATGGTAAGGAGTCTGCTTGCTAATACAAGAGACCTGGACTTGATTCCTGGGTTGGGAAGATCCCCTGGAGAAGGGAATGGCAAACCACTCCAGTATTCTTGCCTGGGAAATCCACAGACACAGGAGCCTGGCAGGCTGCAGTACATGGGGTTGCAAAGAGTCAGACACAACTGAGCAACTTTCACTTCACTTTTTCACTTCTGAAGCCATCAGCTATAATGGCTAACCAAGATTTGCAGTCCTCTAAACCCCACGCAGGGCATATCCTGGAGAAATGTGCATTTCTTTCTCAGGAAAAATGGCTGTCACTTGGTTTCTGGAACAGATCTATGACCCACAGGGGAGAGCTAAATTCCACACAACTGTGATCTTCCAACTGCAGGGTGTGAATTGGTGGCACACATGTGTGTGCTCAGTTGTGTCTAATTCTTTGTGACCCCATGGATGATAGCCCGCCTGGCTACTCTGTCCATGTGATTCTCCAGGCAAAAATACTTGAGTGGGCTGCCAATTTCCTCCTCTAGTGGATCTTTCTGACCCAGAGATCAAGCCTGTGCCTCCTGCATTGGCAGACGGATTCTTTACCACTGCACCACCTGGGAAGCCCGTGGACCAGTAGAGGAACACAGAAAAGTACCAAGTGATACCAGTACAGACAGTAAATCCATTTCCACACCCTTTACTTCCAAGTGTCAGCTGCTGGGGTCCTAGAAATAATGTTTAGTAGTAGAGTGCCATGTGATGTGAGGGTGTAGAAAGGAGTAGGAGGAATTGCGTGACTTTGCTCTAAAACTTACCTTCTGTTCCCAGAAGCAATAAGCAATCCTGCTTATCTAAGCAGAATTTCTCAACCCTTTGAAAGGGCTGAGACAAAGATCAGATTTAATGCTAACCCATTCAGAAAAACAGGTAATGATCACTCATGAATATATAAATCCATGGGGAGGGCATTGTTAATTAAGTTTAATTTACCTCATTAAGAGATGCCTCTCCAATGCAAGTTTGCTTTTTATGTTTAACAATTACTTTTCATTAGGTGTAATATATTTGACATGTTTTTAATCAGTTGGAGTCTTAATAATGATGATGACTTCATTCAGAATGAACTTTTATAATATCCAGAGATATATGGGTCACCAGGAGTAACAGTAATTTAAATTTATACTTTCTGTGCTTGTCACTGCATAAAAGGATACTAGAGCAATTAAGTATAAACAGATACTCCCTGGGACTTCCATTGTGGTCTAGTGGTTAAGACTCTGCACTTCCAATGCAGGGGGCATGGGTTTGATCCCTGGTCAAGAAACTAGATCCTACATGCCCTGCAATGTAGCCCCCCCAAAATAAATTAAACAGATGCTCCCTTAGGATAAAATTCTGTGAGACGTGGATGGAGATGGGGGTTCAAGGAGAAAAAGAAACTGTATGAAATATTCAGCTCTTATAGAAGGGCTTGTTCATGTTACTGATAGTGGGTATCACGTCATGATGGTATATGGAATTCTTTGGCTAGCATCCTTTGAATACGATGGAACAGTTGTATTTTTAAATGTCATGAATTGCAATAAACTGGAGTACCTCCTTTGCAGCTATTTAAATTTGAAATGCAATTTTACATTTAAAAATGTACAAGGGTGGATATAGGAAGAGTCTACAAACAACTAGGCAGACTGTTTTTGTAAAGTTTTCTTGAAACAGTCACACCCCTTCATTTTCACACGCGAGGATAGTGTTGAGTAGTTATAACAGACTGTAGAGATTGCAAAGTCTATGATGTTTACCATCTGTCCCTTTTAAAAAAATTGCTGACACAGGGTATATAAGGGTTTTTAAAGTATTTATTTGTGTTATCATGAATAACTAGCTCTCTGTTAAATTCAAACCTTTCGTTTTTATTTTATGTATTTATTTTTGGCCTCGCCATGCAGGATGTGGGATTAGTTCCCCAATCAGGGATCAAACCCCCTGCAATGGGACTACAATCTTAACCACTGGATCAATAGGGACATCCCGGCATATAGGTTTTTAAATTAACTTCTTAAAATATGACACAGAAGAGAACACAAATCATTAAATATGCATTTCAGTGAATTTTCGTTATCTAAACATACTCGTGAAACTGGCATCCAGATGAAGCCACAGAACATTACCAGCACCCCACAAGCCCCCTTTGACTCCTCACTAAGTATTACCATTATCCTGATTTTAATACCATAGGTTAATGGCATGTACTTTTTCAAAATTAATTTGGAGCACAAAAGCAGTAAGAATTTAGTTCCTTTTCAAATTCTGCCATATATACCACCATTTTTGGTGCTTTAAATTTAACCCAGTTTATTAAAATGCGAATCAGTTCTCTTGTGCCCCACTTGGGTATAGACGTGACCACAAGGCACACAGACCTAATTTTTTTTTCTTCTTTTTGCAGAGAAGTTTCACTTTCAGTTATGGATGGTGCAGGTCAGTGTCCAACTTCTTCTTTCTGAAGTTTCTCGTTTCACTGTTTTCTGTTATTAGAACAATCTGTCCTAGATTTGAGACGATGAAGGAGGAATTACCAGTCCCCTTCCCCTGGGTCTTTCTCACATGGGGATGAGTCAAACGCTGCAGAAAGATTTGGTTAAGTGAGTTCCTTCCCACAGTGGTTTGGTCCCCAGTGGTGAAGTTGGCTAGCAGCCTTGGAAACCTTCAGATTCATTTACATTTTTTGTATTCAAATCACATTGTGTAGCTGCCTGCAAAATCAATCGAAAAACACTGGTGTGCGTATTTTTGAAAAATGGTGATATCTGCCATGAACTTGACCTAGTGCCAGTGGCGGCGTCCAGGGCTGACCTAAGCGTGACAGGTCGTTCGCCTGGCCTCCTTGGTCTCCTGACAGACTCTACGGCAGCTGCATAGGCTTCATTTTGATCACAGGTCCCTGGAGGCAGAGGGGTTCCTATATAAACTTCCCCATGCTGTGCAGAGACCCAGGGCAGTGTCCCACCTCTAATACAGTTTTGGCCTGAGAATCATGGCAGGAAGAAGACCTCCATTCCTCCTCTTAAAAGACAAAACCGTTACCCTCTGGTGAGCAGCGTCCTGTTTCCGTGACTTATTGCTGATGTGTTTGTTTCAGCATCAAAAGAAATACAGCTCAGAGGAATACCACCACAGGCTGCAGGTGTTTGCCAGCAACTTGAGGGAGATCAACGCCCACAACGCCAGGAACCACACATTTAAAAGTACGTGGGGACACCTTGCCTCCAAGCCACTTGTCCCTGGGAGGAGGGAGCCGCTCAGATCTGGAAAGAAATGAATGATTACAGGGTCCGCTGGGCTTGGGAGCAGGGCAAGAGGAGAGCAGCCACCCAGGCTCTGAAGCTGGGCTTGGCCAACCTCACATTCCAGCTCTGCTGTTGTTCTCTGAGATTCAAGGGGTTGTAACTTTAGGGTGTCCCTCCAAAGGGTTGTGGTGTTCCTGCCTTCTGAGGGTCCAGCCCAGACACTGAGCCCCTGGGCTGCCGAGGGGAGCAGTGCTTCTGGACTTACGAGCAGCTCCTTAGGACATCTGCCTTCAGTCTGGGTTCGTTTGACTAGAAACACATGCTACATACATTGAGGACTCAGAAGTGACGGCACTGTCGACTAAGTGAGTAACGTGGGCAGAAGCATGAAGTGGAAGGAAACCTCAGTTTGAACCTCTTTCCTGCCTAATATTGGCTGTGTCAACCCTGGGGGGCATTGACAGCTCTGAAGTTTCACTTGACTGTCAAGTGGAGATCATAAGGCACCCCCCGCCAGGTTATGAAGACTGAAGGAGGTAACAGGTGGTGGTTCTGTACCCAGATGTTCACCAGACCTACTAACCGGGCATCTAAAAAATGGGTGCCCAGGCCCCACCCCAGGCCCACTACGTCTGCATCTCTGGGGTGCAGCCCAGACACTGGTACTGTTGCAAAGCTCCCCAGGGAATGCCGAAGCACAGTCAGGCTGACCTTGGTGTAGTAAATTATAGTTGACCCTTGACAGTGTGGGGTTAGAGGCACCGACTGTCTGCACAGTTGAGAATCTGAGTATAACTGATTGTCTGCCCTCCATATATGCATTTCCTCCATATGTGCACTTTCTCTGTATCCACAGTTCTGCATCCCATGTTTACACCAACCCGGGATCATGTTGCACTGTAGTATTTACTATTGGAAAAAAATCCACGTATAAGTGTATCTGCCCAGTTCAAACCATGTTGTTCAAGGGTCAACTGTAAAATCAACTATACCTCAATAAAAAAATAAATTTAAAAAATTGTTTTAAAACAGTTCAACTGTGTCCATTCCGTTTAAAAATTTAAAGGAGCCAAGTTGAAGGGCCTGTAAATAGGACATGAGGGAACATGAGTTTTCATTATTTTTTCTGTTTCTTTATTAGTGATCTACTGAACACCTCTGTTTTGTTTTGTTTTTTGTTTGATTATTTACTGTTCTGCCTTCTCTTTTTTTCAGTGGGACTGAATCAATTTTCAGACATGAGCTTTGCTGAATTAAAACGCAAGTATCTTTGGTCAGAGCCTCAGGTGGGTATTATTCATTGAGACCAAATCTGAGTCTTTTCTGTTTGGCTTTTTTTTTTTTAATTTTCACTGTGCTGAGTCTTCGTTTGCTGAGGGGACTTTCTTAGGTTGCAGCGAGTGGGTGCTACTCTCTGGTTGTGGTTCACAGCCTTCTCCTTGCAGTGACTTCTCTTGTTGCAGGCTCTAAGGTGCGTGGGTTTCAGTAGTTGTGGCACTTGGGCTTAGTTGCTCCGGAGCATGTGGGATCTTCCTGGAAGAGGGATCAAACCTGGGTCCTCTGCGTTGGCAGGCAGATTCTTGACCACTGGACCACGAGAGAAGTACCAATGAATACTATTTTTGCATAAGTCATATCCAAAGTATTGCATGGGATGTACATTACAACTTTTTCATCATTGATCTAAAATTCAACTTTTAACTGGGTGAACTGTATTTTTATTTGCTAAATCTGCCCTCCCTGTCCTAACTGCCCCAACCTGAGCCCCCCAAAGACCTGTCACTTAGCATTTGGAACTCATAGGGTGCAATAGGATGGCTCTGACAACCATAGTCTTTCTCATTCTCTTGTGACTATTTTAATCACATACTTTTCCATCAGAAATGGATTTTTTTTCCCCCTGAAAAAATTGTAATTTGTCATTTCAGAATTGCTCAGCCACCAAAAGTAACTACCTTCGAGGTACTGGTCCCTACCCAACCTCCATGGACTGGCGAAAAAAGGGAAATTTTGTCACACCAGTGAAAAATCAGGTATGCGTGATGGTCCCCAGTTTTTCCTCCAAAACAGCCACATTCTCAGACAGTATGCCAGGAAGAAAAACTCAAGAGAATCCCGAAACACAAAGAGTAATATCCCCCACTCCATTATTTTCATTATCTCTCTAGCTACCTTCCTCCAAAAGGCCAGGAGGTCATTGTTTTTATGGATGTAGTTCCTCTCTGGGCTGAAGTGTACCCCTTCCCTCCCGCTCCACTGCACTGTCTAAAGCTCCCCACTGACCCTAGGTGTTTCCTACAGTCACCCTAAATATCTGTGCCCTTCTGTAACTGGATACAAGACCCCATTCCTACACGTCTTTTCTTCCTGTCCTCCATCCACTCCACAAGGCACCAGGTCCAGCCCCTCCCTGGCCCTCTGCCTCCCTCAAGGGAGCTGCAGGTGGTCAAGGAACAGCATGGAACCCAGCATTGCAGATGTGCTCTGAAGAGCGCCTCCTGCAGGACACAGCATGCCAGGCAAGGCAAGTGGTGGCACGGTCCTGCGCTGAGAGCTGAGCGCTGGGTGGCTGGCTGGAGGGTCCCACATGCTGCTGGGTCCTGGAGAGTCTGGGCTTGGTGTCCCTGGAAGCGACAGTTCAGTGGCCATCTTCAGAAGCTTTCCCACCTCTTGCTCCCAGGAAACACAGGGTGAAGGTTCCCCTCCTGGTAGCACTTGGCTTTCCACTGAAACTCACCATGAGAAACATTTTCTCTTTTTCCTGAAACCCATGTGATGCAGCCATGATGCCCCCAGGCTCCCTGGATTCCCAGAGTCTGCCTAGTGATCTAGACGGTTCAACCAGAACCAAGAAGCCAAAACGAGCTTCTGCTCCAGCAGAGGGATAGGATGAAGTCAGTCCCCTCCCCCAAGACCCCAAGGTGGCTTTTAAATCATCTGAGAATCCCAGGACAGTTCAAAGCCCAACAGGTATTCGATGTGGAAGCCTGAACCCCCTCACCCTCTGGGCAAGGAAGAAACAGAGGTCTGCCAAGAATGTTCTGGGTCCTCTAATTAGCTAGCTATCAGGCAGGAGAGAGACCGCTGAGCAGAGGGCCTGGAACAAGATAGTCACCCCTGTGGGTGTGTATGTTCTCTCACTGTAGCCACCATATGGTTACAGGTGTGGCGGCAGGATCTGACACTAGCTCAGCAGCCTCACGAGTTTCTTACTTTACAGAGGAGGAGACGCTGAAGGTGCAAAGCAAGTGGGTCTCCGCTCAAGGCCAGGGCTGGCGGCTCAGACCCGCTCTGTCTCTTTCTTCAGTGGCCAAGCCAACCTCCTTGACCAGCCAGAGATACTCTGTTCAGGCCCTCCCCTCCCGCTGCCAAGGGAAGGATTTGAGAGGAAGAGACGGGATGGGGGGAGAGTGAAGGCTCTTTCCAGGAGACAGGCGAGGAGGAGTGGACAAGAACAGTGAGGAAAGGATCTTAGGAGACGTTTCAGAAGTAGTCTATGGACGGTTGAGCCAGTGAAGGGCGGAAAAGAGACAAAGATGGGGATGAGAGAAAGATGCTAACAGCAGCTGGTGTTACTGAACCCGTGGGGTAACTGCAGGACTGGGAGGATCTTATCTGCGCTTCTGACAGTTCCGTGGAGCAAGCATGGTGGTTCCTGTTTTACAAGTGATGAAACTGGGGGGTGGAGAGACGCCCCTTGCCCAGCTCACATGGTGGGTGGGGGCATGACTGTGGTCTGAAGTAGGCAGGCAGGCTCCAGCACCTGACTCCTCGCCCCAGTGAGGTGTCAGGAGAGTGCTCAGTGGCCGTGATCATGGTAGAGGATGGGGAGATGGATGGCTGGGGCAGGACACACAGGGTCTATGGTATCTGGGGTGTATACAGTTGGGGTCCTCTAGGAGACAGGTGGTCTGGGTCTGGGCAGAGGTCAGGGCTGAAGTGGGGTCTGGGAAGTTGTTAGTTTAACAGGACTGTGGGTGAGGTTGGAGGGGGAAAGGTGAGAGAGAAGTTTCTGGAAATAGGACTTTAGTGCGTCCTTCTGTTGGGAGCAGTGGGAAGAAGAGAAACCAGCAGGAGATTCAGAACCAGAGGGACTTCCCAGGCAGTCCAGTGGTTAAGACTGTGAACTTCCACTGCAGAGGGCGTGGGTCGATGCCTGGTTGGGGAATTAAGATCCCCTGTGCCTCATGGTGCAAGGAAAGAAAAAAAGTAGTGGTACATATACACCATGGAATATTACTCAGCCATTAAAAAGAATTCATTTGAATCAGTTCTAATGAGATGGATGAAACTGGAGCCCATTATACAGAGCGAAGTAAGCCAGAAAGATAAAGACCATTACAGTATACTAACACATATATATGGAATTTAGAAAGATGGTAACGATAACCCTATATGCAAAACAGAAAAAGAGACTCAGATGTATAGAACAGACTTGTGGACTCTGGGAGAAGGCGAGGGTGGGATGTTTCAAGAGAACAGCATCGAAACATGTATATTATCTAGGGTGAAACAGATCACCAGCCCAGGTTGGGTGCATGAGACAAGTGCTCGGGCCTGGTGCACTGGGAAGACCCAGAGGGATCGGGTGGAGAGGGAGGTGGGAGGGGGGACCGGGATGGGGAATACATGTAAATCCATGGCTAATTCATTTCAATGTATGAAAAAAACCACTGCAATGATGTAATTAGCCTCCAACTAATAAAAATAAAAGGAAAAAAAAAAAAAAGTAGGACATGTAGAACAGCACAGAATGGAGTCGGGAGGAACTCCGGCCCTTGCAGGACAGCGGGGGTTGGTCAGCAAGGGGCCAGATGGGGAGTGCACAGCTGCTGTTGCCCCTTTTTTCAAGCCTCAGTCTTCTCATCTGTAACATGGGGAGAAGGATGCCGGCCACTTGGGGCTTGTGAGGATCAGCACGGACAGATGTGAGTTGGGGCTTGGTCCACTGAGGTTCTCAAGAGCCTGAGGGGACCAGGTCATGACTCCCCTTCTCCACTCTCGCCTCCAGGGCGGCTGCGGCAGTTGCTGGACCTTTTCCACCACCGGGGCCCTGGAGTCTGCTGTCGCCATAGCAACGGGGAAGTTGCCCTTCCTGGTGAGTGACCAGCCACGGGGCGGGGTGGAATGTGGGGCAGCCATGAGGTCAGGGTCTCCTCCTGCAGGGGTCATAGCTTGGCTCCGAACCCTGACTTGGTGGGGCAGGCCAGGCCTTCAGGCTTCTTCAGGGCTTTAGGTGACAGTGGCCATGTCAGCTGGACTTTGTGTCCAGTCTCACGGACATTTGGTGTGCAAACCTCCCCTGATGGTTTGGAAGGACTGAGGCTCATTCCTGAGTGGGTCTGGGTGTTCCTTGGTCTGGGAACCCAGGGCCTTCAGGAAGAAGAGCCTGCCTGGGAGGCAGCCCTGTAGGAGCTGCACCCCCTCCCAGGCTGGTCATCTTCCGCAGGGGGGGAGCGGGGACCTGTGTATTCACCCCCAGAGCCCCCAGAGCAAGGGGTGACTGTCAGACCACGGCGTCCTGCATAGGGAAGCGGGGGAAGAGAGGGCTAGACTGGCAAGGGCCACCAGGGCCCAGGAGTAGGGAAGGCCTGTCCCCTCCCTCCCACATGGCACCATGGGGGCCCACCTACATGCACCCTTCAGGCCCCTCCTCACCCTCTCACATGCTGGCTTGGCTGCCAGGTCATCACTAAGCTTTTCCCCAAAAGGCGCTAGCTCTGGGCTGGCCCCTCGGACACAGAGATGGACCTTGCCCTGGGGGAGTATAACCTGATCCTCCTGACCCAGAGCTGGTGGGGCCGCGCGTGTGGTCGGCTTAGGGGGCCCTGAGGTGGGGGCTCTCCCGGTGAACACATAGCTCACCGGGCATGTGTTCCTTCTCCAGGCTGAGCAGCAGCTGGTGGACTGTGCCCAGAACTTCAACAACCACGGCTGCAAAGGGTACGTCCCAGACCGGGGTGGGGAGGCCTAGAGCCCCTTCTCATTTCCCGGCGTTACTTCTTTTGGGCCTAGGAGGGGCTGAGACTCTGTCCTGGTTGGCCCCGCTTAGAGGATGGTCACCCCACATACCCGAGGTCCCTCAGCTGGAGTGGGCAGAGCTGTACGCCAGGCCCCGGCCTGTCTGCTCCCAGAATCTGTCCTCTTCCCTGCTGTCACCTGGCTGTCGCCCCTCAGCACATTTGGCCTCATCCACCACCCGGGCCTCTGGGTGAGTGGCCAAAAGAATTCACAGAATGAGAAGCGCATCGTCCTGCAGGAGCAAGACCCACACACAGGTGTCTGGTCGGCTGTCTGCGAATTCTCTAGGGCAGCAGTCCCCAACCTTTGGCACCAGGGGCTGGTTTCATGGAAGACGATTTTCCCATGGACTGGGGGTGTGGGGAGGGAGATGAAGTGGGGATGGTTTCAGGATGATTCAAGTACAGTACATTTATTGTGCTTTTATTTCTAATCTAATGTTAATGATGACAGGAGGTACCGGTCCGTGGCCAGGAGACTGGGGTCCCCTACTCTAAAGCTCTGGCTGCCCCAGCTCGGCAGGCTATGTGAAGGAGCTTTTCTATAGATGAGGGGCCATGTTCAGGCAGAAACACTGTATTTTGCCAGGCCTGCTCTCCTGGCCCATTTATTTATTTATTGAGGTCTAGTTGAACTAGTGTTGTGTTAATTACTGCCATACAGCAAAATGACTCAGTTATACACATCATTTTTGTTCAGTCAGTAAGTCGTGTCCGACTCTTTGCAACCCCATAGTTATACACATATTAAAAGGCAGAGACATCAGTTTGCTGACAAAGGTCCGTATAGCCAAAGCTATGGTTTTTCCAGTAGTCATGTACCAATGTGAGAGTTGGACCATAAAGAAGGCTTAGCACCAAAGAATTGATGCCTTTGAACTGTGGTGCTGGGGAAGACTATTGAGAGTCCCTTGGACAGCAAGGAGATCAAAGCTGTCAATCCTAAAGGAAATCAACCCGAAATACTCATTGGAAGGACTGATGCTAAAGCTGAAACTCCAATACTCTGGCCACCTGATGCGAAGAGCTGATTCATTGGAAAAAACACTGATGCTGGAAAAGACTGAAGGCAGGAGGAGAAGAGGGCAGCGGAGGATGAGATGGTTGGATAGCATCATTGACTCGATGGACATAAGTTTGAACAAACTCCGAGAAATAGTGAAGGGCAGGGAAGCCTAGCATGCTGCAGTCCATGGGGTTACAAAGAGTCAAACATGACTTAGCAACTGAACAGCAACAGTTATATACACATACATACATTATTTTTCATATTCTTTTCCATTATGGCTTATCATAGGATATTGAATATAGTTCCCTGTGCTATACAGTAGGATTTTGTTGTTTATCCATCCTAGATATACCAGTTTGCATCTGCTAACCCAAAACTCCCAGTCTGTCTACCTACCTCCTGGCCTATTCTTCAAACGGGTTGTTAGGGATTGACTCATGGTTCCCAGTGTCTCCAGCCCTCATCTCCTCATGTGCAGTGCTCTAAGACCTTTCTTGTGCACACAGGTATAAAGCCAGGCCCCTCATGTTCCCCCAGAGCAGGCTCCCAGCCTTGCCTCCCGCCCCCTCCCAGCAGCCCAGCCCTCTCCCAGGTGAGTCCTGCTTCAGCAGCAGCCAGCACAGAGATCTCCTGCAGGGAACCACGCTCAGGCTCATCCTGGGACTCAGGGCTGAAATCACTACCACAGCCCTCCAGCCCCGCCAGGGCAGACGTCTGGCATGCCCCAGCCCCTGCAGGCCCTACCTCTATCGGGGCCGGTCCCAGGTAGGCACAGCTGTGTGTGCTTCTTGCAGGGGTCTCCCCAGCCAGGCCTTCGAGTACATCCGGTACAACAAGGGCATCATGGGTGAAGACACCTACCCCTACAGGGGCCAGGTAACTCGGGCAGCCTGGGCTCTACTTCTTGGTCTGCAGGGCCCTCCATCTCTGTGCTCCCAGCCTGGGCTCCATCTTCTTGGTCTGCAGGGAGCTCCATCTCTGTTCTCCCAGCCTGGGCTCCATCTTCTTGGTCTGCAGGGCCCCCTTGGGTTCCCCCCATCTTTGTTCTCCTAGCCTGGGCTCCATCTTCTTAGTCTGCAGGGCCCCCATTTCTGTTCTTCTCCCAGCCTCAGGACACACCCCTCCCGTTCACCCTCTTGAAGACTCCTACTCCCTCCTGAATCCTCAGTGCTGTCTCTTCAAGTTCACTCCTTCGCCTCCTCTGATCATCTGAGCTCCAGTGCTCAGCTGTCCTGGGGCCTCTTCGCCCTGTCCATGGCAGCACCATCTCTGCTCATGGCCTGGCCCGCACCTTCTGCTGAGGGTGCACCGGAGTGCCATCTATGGGCTTCTACACTCTGTGTCCGTGCAGACAGTGCTCCTGGGCCCAGGGCCTCCCCTGCTCTCACCTCAGCCCCACCTGTGCACGGCTGGGCACCCTGACTTTCCCCCAAACCCAGGACTCTCCTCTGGTGTTTCCCCTCCCAACAATGGGAGGCACCACCTTTTCTGAAAACCTCTTGGCTACCTGTGTCCCTTTCTCAGGGCAATCCCCCTGCCCAGACCCTCCCCCCACAGAGACCTTCTTGCTTCTGCTCCTTGGTCTGTCCTGTGTCCCTTCCCCACCTCAGCCCTTGGTCCTCCTTCATCCTGGATCCCTGAGGGTGGTCTGTCCTGGGACCACCCTACCCCAGGGGCTGCCAGAGTGGCCTCTCAGACCAAGCTCTGAGTACAATCAGTTCAGAACTCTTCAAAGGCTTCCCAGGGCCTGCAAGATAAACTCCAGAGTCTCCAGCCTGCCTTCCAAGTCCCTCTGCCCAAATCTGTCTGCCCAGTCTTGTCTTCGACTTCACTCTCCCCTTGGAAACCTTCCGCTCCCACCCAACCGCTTGCTACTTCCTAAACTTCAGGTCCTGCATTGTCATCCTGACTGTCTCTCCGTCTCAGAGGGGCTTGCTCTTCCCTGCATGTGTCCTGCCTCTTGGTCATCTTCCCTGGACTGAGACTGGCCTTCCCTCCCCTGCCGTGCAGGCTCTTACTTGGTTCCTTCTCTCGGCAAGCCTCCTTGGACTGGGTCAGGCCCCTTCCTCGTGCTCCCACCAGGGGCCACTCGAGCCCACCTCTGCCAAAGCCAGTACAGTCTCCTCCCACTGGACTGTAATGTCCTCGGGGACAAGGATGCCTCTGATTCTCTCCTAAGTGATCCCCCTCACCCAAGTCCTGGTACCTGTAGCTTTTGCTTTGTCAATGTTATCAAATTGCACGGGGTGGCGAGGGCGGGATGAGCATCCCCAACCTGTATCCCATGACCTTTGCCCCCCGAACAGGACGGTGACTGCAAGTACCAGCCCAGTAAGGCCATTGCTTTTGTCAAGGATGTAGCCAACATCACACTGGTGAGTACCAACCCTTCTGTGCGATGGGGAACACGTCCTGATCAGGTGGCAGCCTCCACTGCTGTCAGTTGCCAAGGGGCATGGCATGGCAGCCTTTCTGGGCAGCACATCCCTTTGATTGAAAAGTTTTTGATTATCAATGAATGTCAGTCACCGTGATGGCAACAGGGTGTAAGTTGGAAGGGACAGAGCAGGAGTCGGCGGTCAGGTGCTCTGGTCCTGGCCCAAGTCTGCACAAGTCTTCATTCTTTCTTATTTTTAATTTTTGGCTGCACTGGGCCTTCCTTGCTGCACACTGGCTTTCTCTCGTTGCAGTGGCTTCTCTTATTGCAGAGCATGGGCTTCAATAGTTGCAGTATGTGGGCTCAGCAGTTGTGGTGCTCGGGCTTAGTTTTAGTTGCTCCGTGGCACGTGGGACCATGGACTGAACTTGTGTCCCCTGTGTTAGATGGCGGATTCTTAACTACTGGATGACCAAGGAAGTCCCAATATTAAACACTTTAAATTACAGTCACTCAAAGATTACTTGTACTTAACAGTGAAATGATATATATGAATCTGTGGCTATGAGTCTGGTTCACTTTTTTTTTCCCCAAATTCACATGTTTGGCTGCACTGCGTCTTCATTGCTGCGCGCAGGCCTTCTCCAGTTTCAGTGAGTGGGGGCTATTCTTTGTTGTGGTGCACGGGCTTCTCACTGAAGTGGCTTCTCTTGTTATGAAGCACAGGCTCTAGGTACATGAGCTTCAGTACAGAAACTCTGCAGTTGTGTAGTTTGTGCAGCACACAAACTCTGTAGTTGTGGTGCATTGGGCTTAATTGCTCCATGGCATGAGTTATGTTCCTGAACCAGGGATTGAACCCATGTCCCCTGCATTGGCAGATGGATTCTTAACCACTGGGCCACTAGGGAAGTCCCAACAGTAGCTTCCGTCTAATTGAAGTACGTGCCAGGCAGTCGGCACTAGTAGTAAACAGGCAGTTTATGGAGTGTTCACTTCAGTTCAGTTGCTCAGATGTGTCCGATTCTGCCACCCCATAAACTACAGCACGCCAGGCTTCCTTGTCCATCACCAACTCCTGGAGCTTGCTTAAACTCATGTCCTTCGAATCAGTGATGCCATCCAGCCATGTCATCCTCTGTCGTCCCCTTCTCCTCCTGCCCTCAATCTTTCCTAGCATCAGGGTCTTTGCCAATGAGTCAGTTCTTCACATCAGGTGGCCAAAGTTTTGGAGTTTCAGCCTCAGCACCCGTCCTTCCAATGGACATTCAGAGTTGATTTCCTTTAGGATTGACTGGTTTGATCTCCTTGCAGTCCAAGGGACTCTCAAGAGCCTTCTCCAACACCACAGTTCAAAAGCATCAATTCTTCAGTGTTCAGCTTTCTTTATAGTCCAACTCTCACATCCCTACATGACTACTGGAAAAACCATAGCTTTGACTAGATGGACCTTTGTTGACAAATTATGTCTCTGGTTTTGAATATGCGTCCAAATTGGTCATAGCTTTTTTCCCAAGGAGCAAGTGTCTTTTAATTTCATGGCTGTAGTCACCATCTGCAGTGACTTTAGAGTCCAAGAAAATAAAGCCTGTCACTATTTCCATTGTTTCCCCATCTATTTGCCATGAAGTGATGGGACCAGATGCCATGATCTTCATTTTTTGAATGTCGAGTTTTAAGCCAGCTTTTTCAGTCTCCTCTTTCACGTTCATCAAGATGCTCTTTAGTTCCTCTTTGCTTTCTGCCATAAGGAGTGTACTAACCACTTAACTTGTGTTATTTCCTGTAGACTCAAGACAACCTTAGGAGATAAGGGTCATTATTGCCTTCATTTTATAGATGAAGAAAGGTTCAGAGTGGTTAAGTAACTTGACCAGGGCTGCAGAACTAGAAGTGTAAGCTGGATTGAAACAGAGGTCATGGCATTCCAGAACCTTTAATTGGGATGTTTCTGACTATGATACATTTATCTTGAGATAACAGCCGGTTTCTCTTAGACACACTTCCCAGGGTCTGACCCACTCTGGCCCATTTGAAGCCCATTAAGAGGTGGATTGGTGGTCAATCCAATCCCTTTTGCCTGGTGCCCAAGAGAAACTTGTCTGTGACACGTGCAGACCCTGAGGAATAGGCCAGCATGGGCATTCAGCCCTCCTTGGCCATGGGAATGGCCAGCCCCATGACGCCCACTGCCTCTTGGTGGGCAGGCCTTCCTGGTCTCACCAGCCCTGACAAGGCCTTTGCTGAGCACAGGGAAGGAAGCAGTTTGCTTTCCAGGCAGTCGTTTGCCCTTTGCAGCCAGGTCTCTGCCCCTTCTCCAGGGAGAGAGGACTGAGCAAGGCTGGTACCCCGACCTCTTCAGCCTGCCCCTCCTTCAGCAGAGCCCTGGCCTCAGCTCTTCCTTATTTCAACTCCCCAAGGTCTCTAGCCAGGGCAATGGCCTCCTCAGCTCATGGTAACCCAGTGGTTCCCAGAACAGATGCTTTAAGAAATCCTCCTGCCTTTGACCCACCCCAGAGATGCTAACATTATTGTCTGGGGGGCAGCTTGGGCACTGGGATTTTTTAAAGCCCCCCAGGTAATTCTCAGGGCTTCCCAGGTGGCGCAGTGGTGAAGAATTCGCCTGCCAGTGCGGGAGACTCTGTTTCGAGCCTTGGGTTGGGAAGATCCCCTGAAGGAGGAAATGGTCACCCGCACCAGTGTAGGTCACAGTCCAGGGGGTCGCAGAGAGTCCGACGCCACTGAGAGACTGAGCACAAGCACAGGCAGCTCCAACCATGGCTGTCTGCAGCAAAGCTGCGGCCCCAGGAGGCCTCGGACTTCCTCCCCCTGCCCCACCCGACCCCACGCTGACGGGGCTGAGTCCTCGGGCACACGGTCCTTTGCCAGGTCTTGTTTCTACCACCATCTGAGCCTTATCTGCTCACGGACTTCTAACCCGTGTTCTACCAAAAACAACAATGAAAGCTCCTTAGACTAGATTTGTGGGCGCAGGGGTCCTGGGGATGGGAACAGGGGAGTCCCACTCACCTCTGCACCCCGGGAAGCCTCTGGCACACGGGAGGGCCGTGGCATGTGATCATGAGTGAGTGAGTGAATGAGTCCCCACTGCACCCTGGGCTCAAACCCAAAGGGCGCGGGATTCTCTTGGAGCGAAGCAGGGAGGCCCAGCAAGGTCCAGGGAGGTCATAGGGGAGCCAGGGTTTTGGGGGAGGAGCCGTAAGCAAATAGAAAACACAAAGGAAAAAAAGAAAAAGAAAAAACAAAGGATCCTGGCCGTTCACGCACAAGAGGGCTGTGCTGTGCTTAATCACTGCCGTGTCTCTTTGCAACCCTGTGGACTGTAGCCCACCAGGCTCCTCTGTCCATGGGATTTTCCAGATAAGAGTACTGGTGTGGGTTGCCAATTCCTCCTCCAGGGAATCTTCCCAACTCAGATCGAACCTGTGTCTCTTTCATCTCCTGCACTGGCAGGCAGGTTTTTTACCACTGCACCACCTGGCAGGGGACCCCACACCAGCCCCAAGTGTCCAGGGCAGGCTCTGCTTATAAGGAAGGGCAGTTCCCCTTTGATGGCAGCTTTTTGGTCTAAAACACCCTTCTCTTCCTTCCTCTGTGCCTCTGTTACCTACTTTGGGGCAAAGGGCCACATTTCTCACGTGGGGTGGAGAAGTGGCAGAGACCAGTGTGTCCACCTGTCTGCCCCTCTGTCCCCAGAACGACGAGGAGGCGATGGTAGAGGCGGTGGCCCTATACAACCCCGTGAGCTTCGCCTTCGAGGTGACTGCTGACTTTATGATGTACAGAAAGGGCATCTACTCCAGGTGAGCAGGACCCCAGCATCCTCAGGGAAGGAGGGGCAGGTGAGCTCCCCATGGCCGGGCCCGGGACTCACTCCGAGCCTAACCATTTCTCCACCCATGCCACGTTTGCTGGCCTATCATATCGCCCTGCAGCCCTGAGGGTCTGGATCCCCAGTCCCCCAGTTGGGGAGAGAATCACACAGCAGGTCAGGGGCCCCCGTTTGAACCCAGAGCTCCGCCTCACTCAGCAGACAAGCTGCCTTTGGTGATGAACACCCGTGTTCAAAGCTGTGAAGATATGAAACAGGGAAGGGAAAGCAGCTGCTCCCAGATGCCAGAATCCCGTGCTGAAGGGTCATCAAGGAGTTCTCTAGCGTGGGCTTCCTCTCATCCATTCCTCTTGCCTGTTTTACAATGAGAGTGAGTGCAGCCACTTCCGGTCGCTGCCCGGCGTCTCCTCAGTGGCCTCAATTGCAGTCTGGCCAGTCCTAAATGCGAGTGTTCCAGGACTTTCTCCTCTGCTGTCTTCTCACACATGCCTTGAACTCCACGGCCAGCTGTTTGCTGAGTCTCCAAGCCCCCTTCCGCTAGCGGGTCTCTTGAGCATTAGACCCTGAGAGGCAAGGGCCTCCCCACCACGTGAAGCTGGCCGGCCCAGAGGGACCTCAGATCCTGCCTGTCTCCTCCCCCTTATCAGAGGCTGCTGCATGATCACTGCTCAGAAACCTGTCCTCTCTCCCTGCATCTCTCCTCACCATTGCCTCCTTACTGCTTTGTTCCTGTGCCCCGACTAATGGTCCACCCTTCACCCGGAGCCAGTCAGCTTCTGAACACCCTTCTCGCCACACCACTTCTGCACACACACACACACACACACACACACACACATACACACACACACCCATTGTCTCACGTCTTAGCTTGGCCCGGGGAGCCTCTAGCATCTGTCCTTCTTTCTCCAAGTTCAAATCCCATCAGAGCCACCCACGTCCTCCCTGTTCCACCCTGCTCCTCTGCCCATGGAATTTCCCAGGCAAGAATACCAGAGCAGGGTGCCATTTTCTACTTCACTGAGCACCCACTTTCCCGGGGAAGCCTTCCTTGCCCCCACATCCTGCCCATTCTGTTCCCACTTGGTCGGGTCTGCTTCCCTTGGGCTCTTGTCAGCCCCCCAGTTGTCACTGTATAGAACCAGCCTCTTTGCCCACCTGCTCCTTGCCAAAGGGAGCTTCCTAAATCCAGGAGCACAGCTGCTGGTGTCCCATACCTTGCCTCAGGCCTGACACGTGTCAACAGCTCAGTTACATATCGGTTGAATGATTGCATGACCACTGCAGCTCATCTGCTTGAAATTCTCAGAATTTCCTCATGAGAACTAGTTCACTATCTTAAATGAGAAGCCTGTATAATTGCCCTAAATACAGAGTAATCGTAAAAATTAAATACAGTGGCAACAAAGCAGTGTCATGTGAAGCTCTAGCTGGACACTGCTGCCCTCAGAAGGTGCAGAGGGGGGCGGCTCACTCCTTATTGGAAAGCATCAGGTGTCAAGGCCCAGCCAGCTCCATGCTACATCTCGCTCCTTTGGGTCAACAGAACCCAAGGGGCTGAAGAGAACACTTCTCCTGCCCTGTGACTAAACCAACGTTAACTCAGCACCTTCAGTGCCTCCCAGTCCCCACTCTGGAAAACATTGCTCTAAATCACTTGTTGGGTGTGACTGAATCATCTTTTATCCTTTCATCCTTTTTTGTCCACGTGGCATGTGGGATCTTAGGTTCCCGATCAGGGATCAAACCCACACCCCTTGCATTGGAAGCACAGCGTCTCAACCACTGGACTACCAGAGAAATCCCACCCTTTCCGTATTTTCAAGCCTTTATTTATTTTCCTTTTCCAGTACTTCCTGTCATAAGACTCCAGATAAAGTAAACCACGCAGTGTTGGCTGTTGGGTACGGAGAAGAGAAAGGGATACCCTACTGGATCGTGAAGAACTCTTGGGGCCCCCAGTGGGGAATGAAGGGGTAAGCAGCTTCTAGGTCCCGTGTGCCGAGAGGGAGATGTTGACTGCCCAGGTCTGGGGGGCCCTCGGTGGGAGGGAGGGTGTGTGTCTCCTCCGTCTCAGTGTGGCTTCCGAGAAGGGGCTGCTCAATGGAGGCTTAGCCCAGGCCAGAAAGGGGGGAATTTGAGGATGTAACCCTCACACCCCCCAAGAACCCTCCAGCAGCCCCTCTCCCATCCCAGACCCCAGATTATGACTGTGTATCCAGGCACAGGAGTCCGTTTGGCTCAGTGGGTTCTGTGACCACCGCTAGGAGACAGTCCACAACACAGGGCCCAGCTGGGATTCAGCCATGTCTAGGAGGCCCTGAGGGAGAAAAACTAGAGGAACGAATTTACCAATGGTAGACAGCCCCTCCTTCTAGAAGGGGATGCAATCAGGTGGCCTGGGGACGTATCTCAATGTGACTTTGTGTCTCTCCAAGTCTCAGACTTGATGTCCTCATCTGAGGAGGGGTCCCCAACATGAGACCAGCTAGGCAAGGCTGAGAACGGGGCCCTCAGGAGATCCTGGAGAGAAGTGAAGCAGGGACAGAATAATGGGAGAGTGGCCAAGTGGTGGCCAAGTCAGAGGTTTCCTGGAGACCAGTAAACCAGCGCTACTCTTTTGTGAATAAATGGGAGGGCCTAGCCCCTGGAGTCAGATCTTGGCCAGGCCTCAGCCCCTCCCTCTGCCCAGGTACTTCCTCATTGAGCGCGGGAAGAACATGTGCGGCCTTGCGGCCTGTGCCTCCTTCCCCATCCCCCTGGTGTGAGCCCCGGCGGCAATGACGGGTCAGTGGAGGAAGCGAGGACCAGGCAGTCGGGGGCCCAAGATCCTGCCCTGGAGGACATGTCGGGAGACCACCCCCAACCCGTGGCCCTGCACTCTGCACCTCACCCCCACGCTAGACCTAGAAACCGAGAGAAAACTGGGAGGTGAATCCTACGGCGCAACAAGCCTGCCCACGTCTTCTGCCACAGAGGTCACCACCAGCCGTGTGCCTTACGTGTGGTTTCTCACTGATCAACCCCTTGTGGACAAGGAGTATTCTTTCTTCCCAGAAGGGCTGTGTTTCACATTGGGGAGAAGCTCCACTGTCTCTTCTGTGGTCTTTAATAAATCTACAGTGGGCACCTCCTGAGCCAGGTCTGTGCTGTGGGCTGGGGTCTGGGTCTGTCTCCAGGCCCAGTCTCCTAAGAGGGAGGCACCCAGGGGTGGCTGGCTCTCTGGCTGGAAGGATGGCATGCAAGGGTGCTGGTGCAGCTGTCTCCCAGGTGGGGGGCCCTGGATGAAAGAGCAGGTTTTGCTTGATGCTTTGAGTATCTGGGGAGGGAGGAGGAAATACGCCAGGCTCTGGCAGAGCGTGACTTCAACCCACAGCATCGGTTAGGAGGCCTTACTCTCCATATGGCTTCCCCATGCTCAGCTTCCTGCTCCCCATTCGCCTGCCCCGCCCCTTGGGATGCCCCTCATGTCCCTCACCAGCCCCTTCCTTCCCCTGACCCTCCTGCCACATCCACCATCCCTTTAGAGAAAGTGTGGTCTCAACCCAACATGTAGCTGTGGAGCCTCTGGCCCCTGGGGAGCAGGGTCTGCAGCATGAGTTGGTGCTGTTGTCCTTCAGGTCACACTTTCCTAACGAGAAAAGCTTTCCAGACTTCCCTGGCGGTTCAGTGGTTAAGACTGCACTCCCAGTGCAGGGTCGTGAGTTCAAGCCCTGGTGGGAGAGTGAAGATCCTGCATGCTGCATGGACAGCGAAAGAAAAAAAGAAAAAAAAAGCTTTCGTGTCATTTACAGCAACTGTATTCATAATTACCCAAATGGGGAAATAACCACATTCATCATCTGACAGAAATGAAGAAAATGTGGTCTGTGCGTATGACGGAATGTTGTTCAAACATAAAAGGGAAGAAGTTCTGATACAGGCTACCACAGGGATAAACTTCAGAAACGCTACACTATGTCAGTGGAAGACCACAGGTTGTGTGATTCTATCCACCTACAATGTCCAAAGCTGGTAAATCCACTTTTATACTTTTAGAGTCAATTTTACGGTATGTGAATTTTTTTTCGGCTGCACCAAATAGCATGTGGGATCTCAGTCCCCCAACCAGGGATTAAACCAGTGCCCCCTGCAGTGGAAGTGCAGAGTTCTAACCACTGAACCACCAACGAAGTCCCTGAATTGTTTCTTCTTAAAAAAAAGCCTGTCTAGGATTGTGTGTTGTCTGGGATTTCCAAGGGAGGCTACCCATGTAGCTAGGCACTGGCTCTGCACCCAAGAAACCAGGCCCTTCAGAGATGAGAGTTCTGCGCTGAGCTGAATGGGCTTATTTAATGAGGAACAGTGAAGGCATTCCACATAAAGGGCAGATGTCAAGAGCTCCGGAGAGGCAGAGAGCACGGCAGGGCAGCTCTGTGTGGAGGCCTCTATGCTGGCAGGGAGTCGAGTCTGGGAGGTGAGAGGAGGGAAACGCCACACCAGTGAATCTGGAAAACCCGGAGAGTGACAGGTTCCTGTATGACCTCCTGTACCCCTGAGAGTCCCTGAGGTTTTACTGGAAGGATATTTGTCTTCACCCACGCCCCCTCCCCAGAACCATATGGCCTAAGCCTGTGGATGACACACTTCACCCTCCCAGCCATGGTGACTGGTCCAGGGAGCAGCACAGGGCTCAAGATGGGTCAGTCAGAAGCAGTGAATGTGGGATTTTGTGGGAAGCATCAAAAAGGCTCTTCTGGTGATCACTTTGTAACATTTAAAAATATTTTATCAGCCTGCTGTACATCTGGAACTAACACAGTGTTAAGTCTAATACAGGTCGATTATGCTTCAAGTTAAAAAACAAGAGGGTTTGGAAACGCATTCTTCCCTAGAGGTGCCAGAATGAATGCAGCCTGCTGAAAACTTATTTCAGTGAGAGTGACCTCCCAAACTGTCAATAACAAATGTGTGTGTGGCGCTTTAAGCCAAAAAAGAAGGGCAGGGGGGAGTGGGGCCTCTTCCCTGGATGACCAAGTTACTAAGACATAACTTACAGCCTCCTGTTTGGCCACTCTGCTGAAATGTGAAAATGCCAAAAAGCCAAAAATAGAGGAAAACAGGATCAAGGGATGAAATATTCCAGAGAAAACAGTTTAAGCATCTGGATCAATGCCTGAAGCCTTTCCAGAGTTCTCAGTTACATAAGCCAATGAACTCTGAGCTAGTTCTGAGTTACAACTATCATTTGCAATTAAAACCACCCTGATGAATGCAGTAGGCTATGTTCAGACAAGTATGTGTGTACTCAAGACCTAGAAACGTCAAGACACATGAACTGTGGAACACCAGGGCCCAAGCTTGCCACCATTAAGTAAACAAGGCCTCTCCCCACAAGAACATGTCTGTTGGTGAGTGAGATAACTCAGGGGGCATTTGTAGGAGCCAGTGTCACATCTGGCCCTTAGTGCTCAGAAGAGGGTTATCTCCACTCATTTTCCCAAGCGTTCAAGTCAGGTCTGGGAACTACATTCACAAGCCCACAGGCTTCCAGCCAAGTCACCTTTTTCGCCTCTCTGAAGATAGCCAAGAACCACCCCGCCAGGTCTCACGTGCAACTGTTGTGAAGGTTTCACCTGTGCAGATCAGTACCTCATTTAAGCACCTGCTGCAGGCCAGGCTCCGTGCTGGGGCTTCAGTCACCTAACTCCACTCAGTTTCTCCCTCCTTGGCAGACAAGCCTTTCGTAAACTCTCCTCCAACTACCCCACTGAGTGGCCCTTTTCTCGTGTAGGGATGCTGGCTGGTATTAATACAAGGGGGTATGTGAAGGGTAGTACCATCTACTTTCTATGATTCTTGGTATATATATATTTAACATATTAAAGTAACTATTCTAACATGAAGTGATAGAGAATTTGAGTCTAAGCTAGAGACAGAGAACAGATGTTCACTATTATGGGAGAATCCCTTGGCTATGACTGTGAGATTAAGAGCAGCAAGCTATTCCAGATGGGGAAAGGGGTTTGCTGTGTGAGGTTTAGCAGAGACTGAGGTTCAGCAAAGACTGTCTCTCTCTGGATTCCAGGGGGCAGGGTGGACCTGTCTGCACAGGAAACCGGAGGATGAAGTTGGGGGCAACCATGGGGGTAGTCTGGGATGGCCCTGAAGCAGGCACATGGCAGGAAAGACACTGAAGGGGACACCACCACCGCCCCGCGCCCTCCCCTACCCCGGAGAACGGCAGAGACACCCTGGTGGCTGGCCCAGATTAGAATCAACAGGTCCAAGGGAACAGCTGACAGAAGCCCCCAAGGACCCTGGCAGATGTCCTGCTCCAGGGAGGGAAGGTTGAACCAGTGACAGCCAAGGGGCGCAGCTCCAGGGCCCAGAGTGGGGTGACCCCGCAGCCCTACGCATGTGTCCCCAGGCGCAGGCAGGCCAGCGGACTCTCATCAGTGACACTTGTGGTCACCACAGTGAGTGTGCATGCCTCATTTTCTGGTGTCCCAGTCCAGCTTGGGAAGAACTGACCCTTGGAATTCTCTTGACATTCAGGCAATGGGTGATCTAAGAGGAAGGCATTGATGTGAGATTCATAAAGGCTTAAGCATCACTGGAAAAGTAAAGATGAAAGAGCATGTCCCAAGCTGGTAACACAGGTCCTACCAGGAACCTCTGGGGTCCCAGACCAACCTGCCCGTAGGGGCATCTTTGTGTCTCCAGCTCTGGCACCAGGAAAGGTAGGATGATCTGGTCCCTGAATAAAAGCAGAGGGAAGTCTCCTACCCGTGCACATGGTGGAAAGCATGTGGTCTTTCCTGTGTATCCTCACCAAAGGGGTGGGACGGGGTGGGGACAGTGGGGACATCAATACCACCATAATGCCACCACTGCCAGACCCACAGGACGACAAGCTCAGATCAGAGCTACGGCTCTGCCCATGGTTAACTTCATGCTAGAGAACATCAGATAAAGGACACACCAGCCCTCAGGTTTGTCCATCACTCCCAGACCCAACACCCTGAGGCCCACCTCCACCCCAACTCCTCCCGGGGGCAGGAGACATCCCCCCAGGCTCAGCTACCCTCCAGTCTCCAAGGCTGCGTGACGAAGCACAATCCATCTGTTCTTCTGAGGCCATTCACCCATCTTTCATTTCTTCTTCCTCATTTTCAATTCCTACTTTTCTATTTATTCTCAACATTTAAGTGTTGCAACATGAATAAAGCAATACTTAGACTATTTCAGTTTGGTTTTTTTTTGCACCTTTCCCAAACCAGATTCTCCTGAGAGTGCTGGGACCAGCCCAGCCTGGCAACCCCCCTGCATGGCCATCTGACAACTGACTTATCAAGACCACAGAATGGCAGGGTCCCCTCTGGGCTCATCTGTCCCCTCGGCCCTGGCTCCAGTGAAACTCAAGACATGTCCGTCTGTACGCAGGAAAAGATACAGGAGGACCTGCACCACATGGCTAACAGAAGTTAACTTGGAATGGTTGTGAAGAAGAATCAAAACCGTCAATCTGGGTCAACTTTCCTTCAATAAGGCACATACATCTTTGTAACTAAAGTCCTGGGGCTGTTAACTGCATCCCTCTCCAATTCCAGTGTTGAGCTAAGAAATAAGCAAAGGCATTGTAGGGACTAAGATACAGTATCTGTTTTATTGCTCGATTTCACAGCCAAGGGGGCACTTGACCCACCTGCTTTCCCCCCAGGCTGTGCTACAAACACAAGGGTGCGGGGGTCAGGGCACACAGTGGACCTCAGAGCGACCTGAGCATGATGGAGGGGTCAGTCAGCTGGAGTAATGACCTTCTTGTCACTTTGGACAAATCAAGACAAATATGAAAGCCATGATCATGGGTTATAGGGGAGTGAGGGGGAGGGAGGCACAGCTCTCCTTCCCAAAACTGCCCAAGTGGGTCACACTAGTTAGCAACACCTTTTACTATTCTATGGATAAAGAAGCTTCCCCTTAGAATTGTATTTAAGGAGTTGTGTTTTTTCCCCAAAACTGTTTGGGAAGTTTACATGACCTATATATCTGTCCCCCTCCTGTGAACCCCCTGAAGAGGTCCTGCTCCCTTCTACTTATTCTGAGGGTTTCCCAGAGAAAGACAGAAGGGAGGCTCCCCAGTACTCTTCACTGCATATGAGCATTTAAAACCCTCTTGAGTTCAACCAATTAGCTTAATATTTGGCTCCTAGATCAGTGTGAACTTGATCTGGCTTATCTTTTTCACAAGTAACAGTGCCCTATTTCTGGACAGAGAATATTGTTAACCCTCTCCATCTCCTCCCCCTCCAATAAATTAGTGTATAAGGAAATCTCTAGTCCAGCTTTTCTCACACAGGATCTTGCACGGAGACTTATAAATGCAATTATTTTTACTTTCAAATGATTCAGAGAAATAAAAGTGATTTTCTGTGGAGTGCATGTGTGCACAAAAATGTGACAAAGACACAAGAGGTAAATCTGAGAGGCGAAGAGCACACAAGAAGTACTCACTACTACTATGGCAACTTTCTTGTGGGATTGAATGTTAAGAAAACAAGTTGCGAAAACTTTGAAAACAGATGTGTGAACCCCATGCTGAGCCTGCTGGCAGAGAATCTCCCTGCTCCCCTGGACAATGAAGTCTCCGATGGGTAAAAGAAAACGTGAGGTTACTGTGCAAGTGACAGTTCAAAGCTCAGATGCAGAGGCATTCTGGACACCCACACACACCTCTAACCTGCTTAGGTGACAGGAAAACCTCGAACTAGCAAAGGTGCCAACCTTCTAAGGTTTTCCGACTCACCAGGGGACGCTGAGGGTAAGCACCGAGGGATTCCATGTAGATGGGGCGGGGCTGGGAACCTCGAGGCATCTGTGTTGACAGTGGTGCTTCCAGGCCAATGAGGTGGCCTTGTCAGCAGGGGGGAACCTCTGCAATTCAGCGTCCGGTCTCAGCCTGTTCTTCTTTTGAGCAAAGTCACATCTGCTGAGCCATCTTTTTGCCAAGCCACAAAAAGAGGGAAAAAGATTCCAGAGCGGATTCTGTCCCAGGACAACCAGGGTAAAATGAGAGCTATTCTTCATCGAGGAGGGCATGGCAGCCCTCTCCAGTGCTCTTTTCAGAGAATCCACGGACAGAAGAGTTTGGCAGGCTACAGTCCATGAGGTCAAAGAGTCAAACATGACTGAACAACTAAGTACAGCATTCTCCTTCATCACAATGACAACTCATCTGTCAACAGTACACAATCACCATCTGGTATGTCAACCTCATCTCTCAGACAAAAACAGACTGAGCCTCAGACAGTGAGTGACAGTCACACAGCTGGGAAAGAATAAAAACAGCTCTGAGCCCAGCTCTCTGCTTCAGAGTCCAGCTTCTGGCCAGTAGATTCTATGGTTTGTAACCATTCCCAAGAATACCTGGGCACTGGGGCAGGATGGAACAGATGTACAGGGGAACAGAAAGGAAATTATGGGATGCTCCTAGAAGCAGAGATGAGATTACTTTAACTTCAAGAACTTCCACAGAACAAAGGTGAGGGAGGTCAAGGAAACACATGTCAAACCCTCTCCAGGAGGTCTGTATTTAAGTTGGGGGAAGGAGCTCAAATTTTAGGCACTGTGAATAATGTTGGTAAACACCTCAAACAATTAGCAAAAGACTAGCTGTCACACAGCTAAAAACTCCCTCAATGCTCAAAATTTACATTCCATGAAAAGTAGAGAAATAGTCATTATAGTCTTAACTTTTCAGCCACAACTTAAGAGAGCAGACAACCAAAGCTGCTCTGGCAGATGAAGGCAGATTAACTAAAGACAGATCAGGAAGCCGAACTTCTCATCCCACAGAAAACAAGACAATCACTCGCCTCAAAGAAAAATCACTGAACACGAGCAGACACACACAACATACAAAAGGTTCTGTAATGCATCCACGCAAGTACACTGCTCCTTGAAATTTAAAGAAAAAATTTATTGAAGATCTGAAAAACAATTTCTAAAAGATTAACTTTTCCAGAAAACTGTAGCTACACAATGCATTGCGTCTATCATGTTAAAACGTGCATTAGACACAAATACAAAAACCATGAAACAAGCCACCGTTCTTCAACAATCTGAGCAAAGATAAAATGCCTAAAGAACAACATGGATGGATGACTTGCAAAGGATGGGCTCTTTAAGCACCATAAAAAAAAGGGGGAGCACAAATGGATGAGTGTTCAGTTATATACACTGAATTGAACCTTTGGCACTAGGAATCAGAGCATTCTGTCATGTAGCATTAACACATATTATAAAAGTGCGTAGTGTCAAAGGAATAGAAACCACCAGCGTTCAAAAGCAGCTTTGTCAACGAAGCAATAAACACTCTACAGTTATGTCTCTCTGTTGTCCATCACTGAATACACTGGTAGCAACTTTGAAATGAAAAAAAAGGAAAGAAAAGGAGCTGTAACTCCTTTTATTTTCTCTGTTTAAAATCAAACAGAAAACAAACATCAATTTTGTTATACACGAACATTTCCAAAGTACATTGTTTGTACAAGAGAAGGACTAAGAAACAAAAAGGTGTTTACAGAGATCAAACATGGGTGGGTGCACGTGCCTCACACGGCTTTCCGATGGTACTCAGGGGGAGCCACTTCATAATCACTGGCACTAAACAAAGTTGCAGAGTTCTTTGCCAGGTATCTAAAAACGAAATGTTATCCATTACAAGTATGAAAAAGAATTGTATTTTGATCCTAATCTCTTATCAATTACATACAGAAGCCACACAAAGCACTTTAAAATACATATCACAACCACGTAATTACAGCTCAGATAAATAAGGTTACATACCAGACAATGCATAAAAAAAAAAAAAAAAAAAGGAAGTCTATAGAGTTACTCCCCTTATTTCAAAGAAGCAAAAACAGGAGTCACTAGAATACCAACCTGAGTGCTTGGCCCACCCTTAACAGGTATCATCACCCTGAAAGAGTTAAGAGCTAGGATGTCTTTAGCTCTTTTGAAATCCATCATACTACAGATTCAGAAGTTGACAAGTAAATCTCAACTTGAAAGTAACACCATAAAAATCAAAGGGCCCTAAAATGTTAAGTAGTAGAGCACTTTTATTTCATAAAGAAATTGGAGGGGAAAAAAAATTAAAAAAAAGAAAAAATATCCATCACTGGTAGATTCACTTTTTTTTGTAGAAAAAAAGAGGAATCATACCAAACTCAATTGCAATCTAATTTTTTTAAACTGACACACCACGGACATCTTTCTTGATCAGTATTTGTAAACGTACCTTATCCATGTAATAAACATGCTTGGAGATCTTTGTGCGTATTAAGTATTTCTATAGGACAAGTTTCCAGAAGCCTAACTGCCAGTCATTTAAAACGCTTACATATATTAACATATGCCCTCCAGTAAACTGTAAAAACCAGGATTGCACTTTCCATTTTCCCAAAAATATAAGCCATCCCTAGTTCATCCCCAAAATAACAGGAGACATTTTTAACTATGCTAAACATACACTGTTTTACTTTAGTTCTATTACAGTATCTACAGTGCCAATCTATCAAGAATAATTTGCAGTACACTAAACAAATTCATGTTTTTAATTTCAAGCATTAATTTTTAGACTTACTTTAGGAAATCGTGAAGATAATTCAGTAATAAAGCAAGGCTCTTCTCATCCAGAGGTGTATAGGCCAACATTGCTCCAATTCGTACTATTTAAAAAAAAATGAAGTCAAAGTTACATCCAAGGTAGCATTATGAGCACATACTTTAATTATGTGAGCAAACGCAACCATCACTAATTTCCTTAAAGCATATGATTCTAGAAACTGACTTTATATTTTTATATGAACAGAAGTTCAAATGGGAATTAAACAGTCTTTTAGAATGTTATTTTATGTTACCCCTTAATATAAATCAGGATACCAAAGTCCCCAGGAGAGAAAGTAAAACTATTTTCTAAAAGGGGTCATTACCAAACAGTCTCAGGAGATGTGGCGCCCCGTACACCTGGGACATGGGTGCATCAGGGTGGTCCGCAAGGATCTCAGCGTACTGCGGCCTCTCAAATTTGTAGAGCAGTTGAGTGCCCAACATCACATTGAAGTATTCCTTTATCCCAGCCACGACCTCATTGACTGCATACTCCCTGACAAGGGAACAAAAGTATCTACCTTCAGAGCAGGTCACTGAATGAACTGAGAGATGAAGATTCAGTCAATCAACATGAGGGTAAAATGCTAAACCAATGACAATGAACCTCTGCTAAACACAAGAGAGATTTAATAAGAGGTAAGAAATTAATTCGAAGAAACAAACCACTGGTGAGCACACTACAACACACAGGTTAGGGATGGATTTTAGTTTTCACATTTTCAAACAGTTGTATTTTAAATGGTTATATACGTAGTTACTTAGAATAGCTTTTTCAATGTCACCTGGAACATTTACTGACTTGGGCCTTTAATAAATGTTTACCAGCTAAACCTTATGTCTAAGCAATGAAATTCTACCTGGCTAGTTTCTGATGGTATTGTTTTAAAGTACATGTTTCAGATAATTTATTCAGAAATAATGTTTAAAATGTCTTTAGTATACTTCAAAGATGTATGTATTTTCTTACTTATTATCTGTGTTTCCTCGTGATTTCTTGTAATTTGCATAATCCTCTAGGATGGAATCCACGTTCTTCTTGGCGGGAAGATAGAAGAGCTTTGAAAACAAAAATATACTTGAATACTAACATTCTTTTTCAAAGAGAAAGTACACTGGAAAAGTTTTAATGCACTAAAAGATCACCTAATAGTATTACAATAAAGAAAAGGGCACTGTTCAGCACTTGAAACATGAATCATGTGGCTGAGGAACTAAAAATTTAACAGCCAAATGCAGCTAGTGGCTGCCACACTGGACAGACACACTCACTACGCGTGGAGTACACCTGCACATAAACTCACCTCTGACGCGTTACCAAGTCACCACGTATCATTCTGCCTGAAACACTTAGCTTAATATTCACATAAAGGCTGGGACCCAGTGTTTCATTAAATGTAAAAACTAAAACACAAAAAGCTGCCAAACACAAAGTGGGAGAACGGAGCCAAACCTAGCCATTTAGTTTCAAGAGTCAGATTAAGAATCAAAGTCCACACATTGCACAGCCTATGACTGGTGCCTATCCCACACAGTACCCATTTCTCCCCTATCCCTGGTTGTGCTATTTTAAGAAATTGATTCTTCTGTCCTACAGAGTGCCTCACTCTGGACTTTGGTGGCTGTACCATTGTGACGTTCCATACATACATCACAACGTCTCTCTTTCCTGTACACTTGTAATGAAAACCTAGGAGCTTGATCAGATTCAGGTTCTTTTGGAAATCACAAATACCTGCAGGTAGTAGTTGTGTGCTTCCTATTTCTACATCCCATCAGCAGCACTGTATGTGACTATGTCCCACTTTCAATGATATTAAGCAGGAAACAAAATGGTTCTTTTTTTAATCAATTTTCAGAATGATGTATTCGTGTCCTAGCCACTGCCAACAGTTATCTAAACCTTTATAAAAGTAACTGTAAACGCATGGTCTTTTGTACATGTATCTTGCTTATTCCTCTCCCAGTCCTTTCTGATAATCAAAGTGCTCAGTCTAGTCCCTGAATTAAAATTCCCATCAGTCATACCTTCGATGTCTACGAAAATCTACAGCCTTTTCCTTTAGAAAAAAAATTTTACACTAGCAAGACCATTATCATATAGATTACAATCTATGTAACACCAAGTTACCTGTTTTTGCCGGGTAATTAAGTCCCAGTCATCAACAAGCCACGGCTTCAGTTCTTCAGGAATCTTGACTTTAACTTCAACTCTACTCATAAATGTTTCTTCCTAAACAAAAAGGAGAGTACTAAATAAACACTGTTCTTTCTAGCTGAGGAACAGCTCTAAGAGTTTTCTAAAAGCTTTCCTGAATCTTTAGAGGCACTTGGGATAAATTCTTTACTCAAACGGACAGCTGGAACTGTCACTTGGAAACAGTAAAATGAGTTAAGATCATACAGGTTAACTCCTGGGAGAAAAGAATCTTGATAGTCTACTTGATGCCTTTTCATGTGAAGGCATTTTTTTTTTTAGAACAAATTTCCCTTCTTCTATAAATGGTCTCTCCAACTTGCTGCATTTTAACTTAGTATTTTCAAAATTTAATCAATTCGAATAGCCACATCTCCAATAATGAAGCCCAAACATGACTATCTTAAAGTTACATATTTAATATATAAGATTAAATGTATCTTCTAATTTGTCAGTAACTGCCTAAAAATATCTAATTTTCAGAACATACCAGTGCTTTAACCTCAGCTTCAGAAACGTAAATCGTCAGTTACACTTTTAAAACCTCTCTTCAAATTCATAACTCTGGAGATTACAAATATAATAAATTAGACATTTAATTCACTTATGTAAAAGTTCTAAACTATTATACCCACACACATACACATGAAACTGATAGGCTTTCTTGGCATTTTTTTGTGGGTTTATTAAATCAGTAAATCAATTTAATGTGACCTAGGAAGTCAATTCAATCTTAATACCAAAGAACTATTTAGCCTTATACAAGAGCATAGGGCTTAAAACGAACATTTGATGATGAGTTGGGGTAAAACCTGGAAGGAATACATCTAGTGCAACATATGAAATAAAGATGTATACAAATATATCCTTTATCTTAAAAGGGAGAATATTTTCACCTCACTAATTAAAGCATACTATAGCAATGCTTCTGAGAGACTTAAAAGTTCTAGGACTATTTTATCCGTGCAATAATAGGACAGACTAAAAATTCTATCATGCTATTATTAACATAAATTTAAGGAAAAACTCACATTCTCAACAGTAGGATCTACTCGAGCCCTTTTCTTTCGAGGAGGCTGAGGTGTTTCACTAGTGCTGCCACCATCTCCATTTCCAGGTGCTGTAAAAATTGAGGGGTAAGGAAGGGAGATTGTTAGCTTAATGAGTAACTCTTTACTCCTTTGACCACATTGAAAAATCATATTCCTACCAAAAGTATACCTCTCATGAATAGCTCTACCAAACATCTAGTTCAGAGCAATATTTAATATTACCATGTATTTTTAAAATATAATTATCTCAGAGTCAGTCATTAAAGAACACAAATACAATAAATGCTTATGTTTCTCCACAGTAGAAAGAATGTCAGTTCTCTATGGCTATGTACCTAACTCTGTAACACTGCTGTGACTCATGAGACCATCAACATAAGATTACTCTAAAACTTCGTAACTTAAAATTTAACAATGAATTCAAAATGCAAGTGTTATAAAGGCAGAATAATTAATTCAAACAGTTAATAAATATACTTACTCTTTTGCTTGTTCTTTTTCGTTTTCCTGAAAGGAAAAAAGAAAAAAGCTAATTGTCGCTATTGTTTCTAGTTTAAATTCCCTTCTACCAGGTTGAGTCCATAGAGAAATACTGCCTTGATGGTAAGATCAGGCAGCGATCTTTGCCTGATCTTATTTCCTGCATATTCTTATTTACTACTCAAGACTTAAAGACTTCTTTACTGATAGCTGGTTCAATCCACATCTCCCTCTAGACAGCAGAAAAATCAAAACCATATCATGAGATCTTCTCCCAGGGTTTTATCATTTATGTCTATTAGTAAGTTTATAGCATGTAAATTATATTAAAGAGAACCTGCTTCGTAAGACTATTAGTTTGACAAACACAAAAAAGCTCCAAAGATTAAAATATTTTCCTCAATTACTTTGGAACCAGCAAAATTTGACATTTGACTTACTATGTTTCACACCAATGCATTATTCCACTCTCACTGGTCAAATTCTGTTTCACTTTAATTCTTCTCGAAGCTACATTACTTTCTTTACAACACTAAACACTCTGCTTACCCACTCAGAACAAAGCTTGTATCTAGACTATTATGTCTAACAGTAATTTATCTCATGGCTATTTATATATGCACCAACAGTAAATTACTAATCCTGACATAATATCTAATTATTTCTAGAGCACAAGGGAAAAAGTTTATAAAGCCCTGATTATAGGTTATGCCTGGAGGGACCATCACATTACACCTGAATGTGTTTGCTTTTCTACAGTTTTAGTATTAATAAATGTTAATTACCTGTGTTTACTTTAAGTTTCCCAAAGATCCAGATCATGGAAGTATGTTACTACTTATTAACAAATAAAGTTATGAATCAATCTCAAATAGTAGTCCTTGCCAAATCAATCAATCATCTTCTTACCAAATCAATTATCTTGCCAAATTCATTAATCCTTGCCTAATTATCTTCTTATCCCAAAAAATAAAACTGCAAACATTTCAAAATGCATAGTTATCTTCAATACTGTCATTTAATTTTTAGGTAGTAAAGTCAGACTAGTCATGGTCTAAAAGCAATAGAATCTAATCTCAAGGAAAAAGATACTGAAAAAGCAAATCTACCCCTCAAATCTCAAAACTTGTGTCTTGAGAATCCAATGCTAATGCTTGTAAAAGAAAAACACATTATGTGCACACGTTTGTTCTAATTTGAATGATTGTAAGGGACTTCCCTGGTGGTTCAGCTGTTAAGACCCCACACTTCAGTTACACAGGGCAAGAGTGTGATAACCTGATCAGGGAACTAAGATCCCACATGCCACCCAGTAAGGCCAAAAAAGGAAAGATTAAACAAAGGAGGGATTGGTTATGTACTTAATGCCACCCAACTGTACACTTAAAAATGAGTTAAGTGGCAAAAAAAAAAAAAATTGCTAAGGAAAATTAAAGAATCAATATGTAATCAGTATGTAGTTTCAATAACCCAATACCAGTGGGATTCTCATTGGCATTTTTCAAATCACAACAATGTTCCAGTTTCCACTTTCAACAAATTCTAATAGATAGTGTGTATCAAGCATGAATTTCACAGTATGTAAAATTAAAGAGCTTCTTACACTTCAATATTTTTTTGTTGTAGCCCAGCAGTCTTCTTTCCAGGGGCAGCCCCTCGCATCTTCCCCTCTGCATACTGCTCCCTTCAAAAATAATTTCAATGATATATCATCATAAAATATTTATATAGAAAAATAAATTGATAGCTTGATTCCATTTTGAAATTTATATTCAAATTGAAGTTCCAAGGCTATACATATTCTGGTACAAAATTTTTATTAACAAGTTGGACAAAGAGATAACACATTTACAAAAATCAATTCAAGAAAGGAAGAGTAAAAAGGCTACAAAAGGCCTCTCTGATCACTTGAGGTCAAAATCCTAATAGCAGCTGACAGGTACCATGAATCATTTTAAAAGCAGGCAGCCAACATGATTTCTGCTGTGGATTCCATTTCCATAAACTAACTTACAGCCATTTCTCCTCCTATTCAGGTTGCAAACAAACTTACTGATTGGCTTTTTGAAGTTCTCTCTGTTTTTGTAAATTGGTATCCACATACTTGAGTACTCTGCTTTCCGGAACCCATTCATCCCAACTGAAAGAGAAAAGTTAAAATATCATTCAAAAATATTTCATTAGTATACAGACTCTGTTCTACAATTTTTTCTTTTAAATCCAAGAGGCAAGAGTTTGGACTTCTCTGAACTGAACTAAGTTGAAGAACTGGCATTACAAATCCATTCTCAACTAGACTGAAAGTCTAGAGAAAATCTGTTCTATAAAATAGTAATATAAACATTCTCAGAAGCAATACCCCAAATCGAAAGTGCCAGAGTCCAAAAGATTATCCAAATCGTTTGTTTAAAATGGCTTAAGAGTACAGCATATAACAGCACATAACCTAAGAGCCCCTAAGTAATTGTCCTTACAGAATAAAGGCACCTGAAAAACTTAAAAAAAAAAAAAAAAAAAAAGCACAGGAATCCATAAAATGACTTCTTAAAGCACTAAAACAAAACAAAACAAAAAGAACTAAAACCAGCTGGTTATCTCTGATACAAAATTTCAAAACTCACTGTGCCTTAGTTTCACCTGTATAATGGGGATAAACATCCATCTATCTCACAAGACTGTTACGAGAATTAAATAATAAATATAAAATACTTGCGAGTTTTGATGCATAAAAGATAAAAACACTCAAGCTCCATGAGAAACATACTAGAAGGTCTATAAAACAATACCACCTACATCAACTCACTTAAGACTAAAGTGTTACCATGGTTATCACTCACTCACAAATGAATTTACTAATTTCCAAGGCAAAATCTTCTTGGCTTTCTAAACATCAAAAGGTAGAACCATCCACTCTCTTAAAAATATCTAGTTGCTAAAGCATTCTGGCACTCAGAAAGCTTCAAAATGAGATTTTTTAAAAAAATTATTTTGATATGAAACTGACTTATATTAATTACTATACAGCATATTGATTCTATAATACATTACACACACTCCTTTCATAATTTTTACCATTATGGTTTATCATGAGATATTAAATATAGTTCCCTGTGCTACACAGTAGGATCTTCTGATCTTCTGATGTGGCTTTTTCCCACAAAGAGAAAAAGACAGGACATTTCCTAGGCAGTGCTGAAATTTTTGTGCAAAGTAATTTTTTTCCTCCTGCTGATGGAGCTCCTTTAGTGACACAATTAGATTGTATCCTCTATGTGTATCCTCAATGTGTATTAAATACACATTGTATTTAATGATTTCCCACCTTTGACCTCTTATGCAAGGTAGCCAAAAGAATAATAAATAATAAAAAGCAACCCTCAACATGATTTCCTAGAGAAAACTTTAAAACATGCATTTACCTAGAGGTCAGGAAGGGGTGGTGTACTGAGGGAGCTCCTTCAGGAACAGGAAAAAGGGCTACAATATCCTCATGTGTCTTCAAAGCTTTTTCAGAGCGCCTGGGCCTCACAGCACTTCTGATACAGACAGCATAGTACAAAGTAATCTCAGTAACTAGGTGTAGAATTCTGCTTACGCTTTATTAAGATTTATTTACAAATGGAATATTTAAATGTCTGTGTCAACAAATCGAGTATCTACTGTGCTTTTGAAGAAGTATATATTTACTGAAGTTTAAGACAATTCCAATTTGCAGATTGGGCTTCCATCGTAGTCTTTTCTAAAAGCATGGTATCTTATAAACCATTTTCAAAATTGAGGATCTTATTCCTACTGCTAGTTATATCCGTTCCTATTCTCTCTAAAGGGAGTTAGCAAATTTTTATTTACTAGAAAGTTCCATTTGAGAACCGTGAAAATTCCTTTCCTCATAAAAAAATGCATCTAAATAAGAACATTGATCTAAAAACAAAAGTCCATTTCAGAGTTTCTTTTACATGCCAGGCGCTGAAAACAGTTGCTGACCCACAGGAAAATGATGTCTTTTGCTCTGAGGAACATCACTATTGGGGGGGGGGGGGGGTGGCCAAACATCCAGAAATTCTTCCATACAGCTCAAACAAAAGAATTTCAGAACTTTCTAAAGGTAGCTTGTCATTAATTCCCAAAGTCACAATGATCCATGGCATTAACTTACACGGCACTAAATAAAAAACATTCTGTACAGATTTAAAGGCCCCTCTAAATAGTTATTAAAGATCAGCATTACAAATTATATATTTATCTACATACCAAGACAACTACAAAAAACACATCCTCTACAAAGACACAAAAAACCATGTAGTCTATCATTTATTTGTTACTAGGTAATATAACAAAGGAAAAAACATTTTCAGGCAATATTATCAAAAAATACAAGCTTTTTATGTATTTCCACAATTTTAAGTTGGAAATGTCATTTAAAACCCAGTCTTGAAGCTGCACACATCTACAAGGAATTTAATAGAAAATACTATACATGAAAAAGTTAAGCACAAAAGTTGTGTCTACAGCTATAGATGTAATCCTAAATTATCTTAAAGTGTACCTGGGGATGGGGCACAGATCTAGTCCATGAATCTGCTATTTGTTTTTCTTTTATTTCCTTTAAAGTTCCCATTCATGATATGCATAAATATTTGCTTTCCTATACAGAATTAAGATTTTCATGATATCTAATACACTCTCAACTTTACCAGGATATTTTTACATAAAACCTAAGTGTAATGAAAGACACAGTTTCAACATTTTTTTTTAAAGGGAAGGGAAAGCTGTAAAATAATGGAGATCTAGAAGACAAACGTTCCTGGATATTTGAATCAATTTAGTATTAATCCCAAAACCCCATTTAAAATCAGAGGCAAGTTTATTTCTGTTAAGACCGAAGGGATTAAAAGCTCACAGGGTCACTTTGAGTTACTATATTACCATCACTACTAGGAATATTTTAATTATTAACTGGAAGAAAAACCAACTTATTGAATGTGCTTCTATACACTTTAGATTTCCACTTTTCTACAGTTATACTAACGGAAAAAAGACAAAGATCTGATGCTATTTCTTAGCTAGAACTATCTTGTGAAAAAATCTTCTAACTAATAAAATTAACTGAGTTGGTCACTGGCTAAGGGACGGTGTGAAAGAACAGTCAGTAAACGTCAAAAAACCTTCCAAAACAAGAGTGTGCATCAAATCAGATGGCATGGCCGAGCTGGCGTAAAGCTTTAAAAAAAAACCTCGAGAACTACTCTTTTTGGCAGTGCTATCTTTGAAGGACAAATCACCATTAGTAAAATTAAAAACCTCTCAGACTAAATATTACAAGCTATTCAATTACAAGCACCAAAAATGAGTCAATTATCAGATGTGGTATTTGTGAGATCCAAGAAGAAATACCCATCACTGACAGAGCTCCACAGGCTGAATATTCTAGAATGTGTTCAGTCTGCAACCACTGTTCATCCCCAGCAACATCAATACATCACTGCTTTTATTTAAAAAAAAAAAAAAAAAAAAAGCTCTTCAGAGTAGAAAACTGGGTTCTGTAATTACATTTCTGTACCTGTGTTAAACCATATGCTAAAAGTGAACTACATGAATTCACTGTTAGTATATAATTATGCTTTCAAAGTTCAAAACATGATTTGGTCAATACATCCAATCAAATAAAGCAATTTTTAAATCTTTTCTCCCTTCCATAGTAGAAAAATACTAGTTTTGAGTGTAACTGCTTGAAATACCATTTGTAGTCACTAAGTCTGTGTTATAAGAAAAAAAACTCAAGCTATCCTAAAACGTACCAAAGCTAGAAAATAGTCCGGCTAATGAATATTAGACGTTATACCAGAACACAAGAAATAGGCCACAGAATGTAAAACAAAATGGCAGTAAAGCCTAATTTCTATTATATTTCAACATATTACAAACAGTTCACCTTTGCCCCAATATGTACTTACAGTAAAACTGTACAAGAATTAAAAAGCACAGGCTTCTATCAGTTTATGACACAAAGCCAACTTGTTAATTATAAATAAAAATTGCTTTAAAAAATCTAGTACTTTTTATTCCAACCACTGTAATGGATGAAGTATTTGACCTGTTTATCCTTTATGGCAACTTTTACACACTGAAATAAAAAAGAAACAAGTGTATTTAGAAATAATGAAGAAAAAAAAAAAAGACTACCTGGGTAATTTTGAACTATCCAACACTGAAACTGTTTGGTGGCCAAAAAAAACCTGATGAGACTCTTGAACACTATTTAAGCCTTTAGACTAGTATTCAAAGTCACACTGCCAAACAGTTAAAAGTCATTTGTTGGGAGTTAGTCCAACAAATCTAAAGAACCATAAGCACTGAAGGTGACCCTAAACCTTAAATCGGTGGGCTAGATAGGCTATCCAAGAATAGCTAATGAAAGCTGTAGTTGTGCTTTCTCAAAGTTCGGCTAGTCAAAAGCTACATTTGGATAAACAAATTCAGCTCAAGAAAAACATTTACACCACATTATTTTAAAAGCTCATTAGTTTACACAAGGCAATAAACTATTCTGCTGCAGATTATCAGCAACTGAGTGACAGATGAAAAACATCTTTTTTTTTTTTTTTAAACATCTTGTCTTCTTGTGTACTAAGTCACTTCAGTTGTGTCCAACTCTTCGCAACCCTGTGGATCACAGCCCGCCAGGCTCCTGTCTGTGGGATTCTCCATGGAGGAGTACTGGAGTGGGTTGGCATGCCCTTCTCCAGGGGGGTCTTCTCAACCCAGGGATTGAACCTGTACCTCTTATGTCTCCTGCATTGGTAGGCAGCTTCTTTACTACGAGTGCCACCTGGGAAGCCCCATGCTGTTCTTAAAAGCAGCCAAACAAATTAAAACTGATTAGTGGAAGTCATTAACCATGAAAAGGTGATGACTATCTGGTTTTGGATTTTAAAAAATTTTATCAAAGGCAAACCAAGAGAACCACAATAGTTTAAGTTACTCCAACTGCCATTTGAAATTGTTCCCTGGTGTGTTTTTGCTGCCAGAGCAGAAAAAGCTGCCAGTTTAGGAGAGCCTGCTAGAAACTAGTTAACAACAGAAACAACATTCAGCAAGAGAAATGATCACTAGGACTTAAAACACATTTATAAACTGTATTGGTATTATCCATTAAGATATATGTACACATATATGAAGTTCTTGACCATCTCAGAAATCCAATTTCAGTCATTTTAGAACTTTAAAAACATACACCTATTATGTATTCAAAATAAGTAAAATGGTTAGCAACACTGACACTTTACAACTGTTAAAAGACTTTTTCACAGACAAAAAGTATTCACCAAGAACATACATAGAAAGTGCCTTTACCATTTATTTTTTTAAAAACAATTGTCAAAAATAGTTGACACAGCTTAAACATTTGTGCTAAGTTAACAGAAACAAGACACTAAAAACATTAATGCATCATCCAATTTATCTTTGTTTAAATGTAAAATTAGTTGTTTATAACCTCAGTGCAACACTGATACACAGAAAAGGAATGACCCAAGATTCAAACTTTGCCAGACAAAACTAACAAAGTTAAATGTACTCATTTGAAATGTTAGCTTTACCCTCAACATAATTTTACTCAGTACTTAACTCAGCATATTATATTTGCCAATAAAATTGACTTTGGCAGTATTTTCTCATAAGTCATTAACTAACAATGCTATTTTGTTTCCATAGTCAAACCTCTACCTTTCTGTTCACTTTCCAACTACTTGCCTTTAGCAGATCGGTAACACGAATGGCAGGTTGCTTTATGTGAACCGCTGAAGAAGCAGTGAAACGATAAAAAAGATGAGGAACTATGAACCTGAAAATCTATGAAAAAAGTACCTCTCACTAAAGCTACCCATCACTGAAACCTAATTATCAAACCAGTAGTTTCGACTATCAAACCAGTAGTTTCAACTAACTTCTTAAAAGAAAACAGGTTTTGTACCTTTGCTTCATACAGAAGAGGCCCATGAAAGCACAGCACTCTCTCACCTGTAAAAGGAAAAAACAGGGAAAAAGCACTGCGTTAGTTATGATTTCTCTTCATATATAAGAATATTCACATCTGGGAGAGCCGTCACCCTTGTACTATGGTGTTTCTCAAAAAACTAACAAGCAAGTGGATAAGGGAATGCATACATCAACACTTCAGATGGAATTTCAAGACAAAAAAAACACCTCGGCATTTGATGGAAACAAAAACAATTAGGATATCAATCTATTTAAATCACCAAATCATCTATCACCTAAGCAAATAAAACCTACTATAGCTATCTACCGACAGGGTTGATATATTTTTCAATGTACATCTGAGATTTAAAGAAATTTTAAGTTTAGAACCTTCTGCTCTACCTATTCTATGCTTCCAACCCGTCAAAGGAAAGGGCCCAAGCTGAGGAAATATTAACACAAAAGCACAGATGAAACACATAAATTCTTGTGCAGTGGCCCACTGTGAGGAACCACTGCCTGATGCTAAGTCTATGCCGAACTTAAGTGGAGACCAGAAACAGGAGACCAGTGACTTCTGTCAAAGTCAGGAATAAGAACAGAAACAGGTATGATGAGAAGGACAGCTAAGCCAAAGTAGAAAGTTTAAACTTGACTTCCAGCATGGTGGAAGTATTATCCAGAAAAGGAAATGGAGAGGGGGTTTCAGATCAATTCTGGAGTAAGTTACAGTAGCTACAGGATACCCAAACTGGAGCCATCTAGTAAGCAGTTGAGTACATATGTCTGGAGCTCAAGAGAAAGCTGGGCTGGAGCCACTGCTGAATACTATGGACAAGAATGAGACCACAGGGACAGAGGAGGGTGGAGTCTACTCTGAAGCACCAAAGATGGGAGACCTGTGTGCCTAATTTTAGTCTTTCTTCAAAGGCACCCTGAAAATAGTCTTACCAGTGTCTCCCTCCTTTTGGTTGCTGCCACCAAAGACAACCACACTGAGGCTAAGGCCCTTTGACCTCCATTCTAGCTACCTGTCCCTAATAGCCCGCTGAAATATACAGTAAGTTGAGGAGCATGACCCAGCAAAACAAGTGCCTAATTTCTCCTGCAAGTGGAAAGACTGTTAATTGGGGAAGGAGCAAACCACTGTCTCACTTTTTTTGAACTTCTCCATCCTTAATCCTTAATAGTATTCAAAATGCAAAGCTAATTTTGCCCAATGCTCTCAAATTCAAAGGTGATGAGATTCCAATTCCTCATCCTCTCATTGGTTTTCTTACTAGGAACACTACTCAAATTCCAGCATGAGCTACTCTCCTGACAATCCAAAAGGTCTCCCCCTCCCCTCCCCTTCCCTCCCCCTACCACACAGGTTAGATGCCCAATAGTTTTACTTTTTGCTTTAACATTTCAAGTGGAAGATCAAGTGCAGTGCAGAACAATCACTGTGCTGAAAAAAAGGTTGTAACATATGTTGCACAATTATTTAACAGGAGAAATTTTCAAGTTTAAAAGAATCAGGGAAAAAACTTTACCATCATTCATATTTTTACCATCACAGAAGCTCAATTCTTCTGCAGTGTTTTAATATAATTCTGCTAGTTTCAACAGAATATTCCTTTTTCCTTACAAGATATTCTCTTCTAAATAACTCAGTCCTGTCCAACTCTTTGCAACCCCAGCCCACCAGGCTCCTCTGTCTATGGAGATTTTCCAGACAAGAACACTGGAGTGGAGCTTTTCCTTCTCCAGGGGAGCGTACCCACGCAGAGAACCCTTAGCTCTCCCCGTCTCCTGCACTGGCAGATGGATTCTCTATCACTAGGGTCACCTGGGAAGCCCCAAAATAATAATAATTTCTTAAAAGATGGTTATACAACTCAACTTTGACACAGGAATAGAAAACATGTCTGCAAAGTGCAGACTCTTAGGTAGCTTTCAAAACCATAGAAGTACATTGGCTCCTTTTGTTGTTCAGTCGCTCGGTCATGTCCGACTCTGCAACCACAAAGACTGCAGCACCGCCAGGCTTACCTGTTCACTACCTCCCAGAGTTTGCGCAAATTCATGTCCACTGAAGTCTGTGATGCTACCTAACCATCTCATCCTCTGCCGCCCTCTTCTCCAATTCACTGCTACAGCAGCATATGGACTCTCCTTCACTCTACCATCCCCTCCAGTTTAGAACTAAAGCACTTCCTCCAGAAAGCCATCCTTAAGTGTCCCAAGTCTGTGTCATTTTCCTTTGATGTCCTACAGTGAGGATTAATTTTTTTGTGCAATGGACCCTTCAGTCTGGTTGTCTTTGGGCCTTTTCTCAGAATTTTTCTACAAACATGTAAAACTACTACAAAAGAAACGAACTATACTGAGACAGATAAAGACATTTAAAACGTGTGTCTTGGTATTATATGAGCTCCTTAATTGATACAATAAACATTTAGCTGCTTATTCAGGGAACTACACCACAATTCTGAAACAACGGAAAGAATACATTACATCTGAATGTATCTTCTGTAACTTTAATTACAGCTACTACTACTGTGGGAGAGTCTTGTTTTGCTTTTCTGTGGGGGAGGAAATCTACTATCATAACTGAACTATTAATTTTAGTTAGAAAATAGAAAAAAACTTTTTCCTGTCCAAGTACAAGGGGTGTTCTGAATTATAAACACCCTAGATCAAGAATCGTTGCTCTAAAACATCTGGTTTAAAAAAAGCAATCCAAGCAATCCACAGTCATCTTCAAAGAGCTTCTCGGGGTGAGAGAAAGCAGGTATTAAAAGCCAGTTACAGGGAAAACACCCGCGGCAATCTTTTAAATATTCCATACTGTTACAATAGGCTTGGGTTTTGTGTGTATGACTCAAACTAATTCTAACGCACATCAAAGTTTGAACATCCCTACAATTTTTTGCAGACGTCTCGACATCCATGGTATCTAACACGTACAACCACAATAATGTGAATGAGTATTTTAAAGTGTTCTTGCTTGCCTTACATAATTTTATGTCCACTTTAGTTTACTGTTAAGCCTCCACTATATAAATTAATAGATGTGGTAACTGTGGAAATTACAGAGCTGTCTTCCTCTGGAAATCAGGCTCTCTACAGCCAGCCTACACATTGATCAGAGACAATAAAAACTCAAGTTTCAAATCACTGTTAATCAATTATTACAATTAACCGAACCACTGCCGTACTTAAAAGGCTGACATCAAAGCAACGGGACTTCATAAATGAGGACGTAACACCGCATTAAGGCAGTTTTAATTACGGCTTTACAAGCCACCGCGCAGCCAAAGCACGTTCACATTCCCATAGGACACCGACACCGCTTTTCCGAGAGCAAAGGGATGCCTTCGGGCGACACAAAGCCGACCCGGACGCTCGCACTTTTTTCTCATCCCCACCCACCTCCCCGGGCCCAGCGCCGAAAAACCGGTTCCAGATCGGCGGCGGGGGAAGAAGGGGGCGCTCCTCTGCCCTAAAGCGGCGTTTGCGGCCGCGAGCCGGGGACCCAGGCGCCGGCTGCCACGAAGAGCCCGCCATCTTGCAGCAGCCATCTTACAACGCAGTTCTCCCGCCCCGAGACGCGAAGCCAACCCCCTCCTGCCGCTGCTCTGCGGCTCCACCGCGAGCTACTCGCTCGCGGCTCGATGGTCGCCACGGAGTACCAACCCTCGGACGCCCACGCGGACGGGGAAGCCCCGCACGGCGCCTGAAACGGCGGCCTCCGCCGCCGCCTCCCCTCCCCCACGCCACATCACTTCCCCTAACGGCCGCCATGGCGCGCCCGCCGCCTCCCTACAATAGGCTACTTTCTCCGCGCCCTCTTCCTCTCAACAACAAACAGCACTAAAGCTGTGCCATGCGGCAACGGCTCCCTCTCGCACTCTAATGCCTGCCTAATGCTTTCGCCTCTCAAAGTGCTTTTATCCTCACGACGCACAGAAAAACCTCGCCGCAATGCGCTTTCTCCGCACAAAGCCCTGCCCGCCGCCTCCTCGGGGCACGGCCCTCACCATCCCCGGCCCCCAAATCTGAACCGCCCCGAGACCACCTCCCTCTCCAGGCCGTTAGACGCTTTGTCCCCAGGGGGTGAGACTCACCCTCCTGGAATTTAGGCTTCGGGTCCTGCTTCGGCGCCATTTATAAAAGATTCACCGCCGCCGCCTCCTCCTTCTCCCACCACCCCTGACTACCACCCCCTACTCTCTACCCCACCCAGCTCCGCGTCAGACGCGCCGTCAGGCACCGCCAACTCTACATCCTGGGCCCGATTTGCCAGCGTCCGCAGACCGCCCAGCACCGCGACCCGCGCAACTGCCTCTCCAGCCAACGGCTGCCCGGCGCGCACGCGCCCCTGCGCCCGCGCCGCCCCGGGGCACGGCGGGATTGGTAGTTCCGAGGCGCTGGAGGCTCCGAGGGGCGGGGGCGGGGCGTTGGCCTCCTCCCCTCCCCCACCCCTAACACCCTGCCCCACCCCCATCCCCGGGGGCGGCAGCGTTTTTACTTCCTAGATTTGATTTTACGTTTTTCTCGGAGCGAGGGACTGCAGGGCTTTGCCTAGCCCACACAAAAGAAGGGGAAAGGCCCAGTTGCGGAGGTCCATGGGCAATATAGGGCCGCAACGATATGGGCTTGGGAATGGCCAGAGCGAAATGGCGGCCTCTGAAGCCCCTTTTCAGTAGCATCTTGTGCAGTTTCGGAGGAGGCAATGGCACCCCACTCCAGTACTCTTGCCTGGAGAATCCCAGGGACGGGGGAGCCTGGTGGGCTGCCGTCTATGGAGTCGCACAGAGTCGGACGCGACTGAAGCGACTTAGCAGCAGCAGCTTGAGCAGTTTCTGCACAGGGAAGCTTCAGGGCCAGCAATCTTGGCCAGAAAGGGTCATGGAGTCTGCGTCTGGATGTTTCCTCGTTCAGCAAGCTCACTAAGTTTGGTGGGACTGACGGCCATCTGTGGGGTCCTTGGCCTAAATGGGACGAAGCGGGCAACACCGGGCAGGCTGAGAGGTCGACCTCTGGCTTTTAGAGATGCTGGAGCTCGACTCGCCGCCGAAAGAGGCGACCGTGAATAACACTACACCGTAGCGAAGTCGGGGTTCTGCACCTGCCCTACTTGTGCCATTTTTTGTTACCTAGTTGTTATTAGGGCACAGTTAGTTGCTGTTACTGAATATACACAAGTCCGCCTGCAACGCAGGAGACGCGGAAGGCCCAGGTTCGATCCCTGAGTCGGGCAGATACCCTGGAGAAGGAAATGGCAACACACCCCAGTATTCTTGCCTGGAGAATTCCAAGGACAGAGGAGCCTGGTGGGCTCCAGGCCATGGGGTCCCAAAGACTGAAAGACTGAGCACTGACTATTGAATATACACATGATTTAAAGGAATTTTCTCCCGTCATTCACCTGTTCAAAAAGTCTGTAGTTTGCTTAACTGCAGAGACCACCTTCCCATCGGTTTCCTGTGAGAATTGCACAGACAGGCTGAATGGTGAACTGGTGCTCTACACACGGTTAAGGAGGATACATCCCAAAGTCCTTACCTTGGCGTTTGAAGTCCTTGCACAAACAGCCCCCAACCGTCCCTCCAGGCTTTATACTTGTCCCCACACCTTGCTAAATTCTGCCCCACATCCCCGTGAATAGGCTGCGCACCCCATGGGTTCCAGACCCCTCTCCATTTATCTGACTCCAGTTTCTCCTTCAACCTTCCCTTAACACAGCCCCTTCCCTAACTGCAGAAACCCACAAAGAAACCTCACTCCATTTGTCTGTACAGCATCTGCTCTGCACTACTCCTGAAAATAACGAAGAAAGGGGCAGGGGCCTCCTGCCGACCCTACCACCACACCAAAACTCTGAAGTACACGTCTTGTTTTAACGTTTTGAATACAAAATATTTTTAAGTTATTCAATGATTCAAAACACTTTTAATATAAAAATGAGGACAGTGAGACTTGTCCTGGATCTGTGCTTCCAGTGCAGGGGAGCCAGGCTGCATCTCTAGTCAAGGAAATAAGATCCTGCAAGCTGCCCTAGGTAACCAAAAAACAAACAAAAAGCAGAAAAACAAAACAAGGCTTTGGACTGGTCAGCTATTGCTCTAGGCTCCAGGCTCTTCTGTTCATGGAATTTTCCAGGTAGGAATACTGGAGTGGGTTGCCATTCCGTGCTCCAAGGGATCTGCCTCTTACAGGGCTTGAACTCAAGTCTCCTGTATTACAGGTAGATTCTTTACCATCTGAACAGGGAAGCCCTATGTTCTATACTTATCTGCAAAATATACCTCGTTGGCTTAAAAATCAGGTACTATGCTTGAAGCTTTAAAAAAAATGAAGTGAAGATAGAAAAAAGACCTTTCCCACCTCAGTCCCTCATCTGTTCCTACCTCCAACAAAAGTACAACTATTAAAAGTTGTTTAGTATCCTAGCACCCTCATTGCCTTCTTTCTCCATATCTTTTAAAGTTAATTTTTTTGCCTTTATGTTTGTGTTTTAATTATACAAATAATATTTACTATTTAAGTCTTCCAGATGCAACAATTCAGAGACATAAAATACAGGGCAAAATTTGAGGAACCTTTTATTTTTCCTCATTTTCCTCCCCATCATTTTGCAGGGACATTTTTCTAATTGTTTTTTTCTGTTTACCATAAATGGACTGTATATATTGTTCTGTGTCTTCCTCTTTTTTAATTTCATAATATGGCTAGGAAGTTACTGAAATTATATGTGCCCATCTCACATTTTTAATTATGATGTAGTATAAGTAGACCATATTTATCCAACATTTGTTCTGTTGCTTTTAGTTTTTTCACTGTTAGAAACATATGCCTTTCAACCTAAATCTTTGTGCCCATTGTTTTTACACTTTTACAACCCTAGATGTAGGGTCCTAAACTTACATTTAATGAATAAATAATAAAAAATGAATTTAAACTTGTCGAAGTCTTCATCAACTTACATTTCAAACAACAATTTAAGAGAGGACCTGATTCCCCACATATTTGCCAAACATGGTATTATCTGTCTCTCAAAACTTGTTTTAGTATAAGAGGAAGTCATGTGCACAGGAAGCCAGACACCAAAGACAATATACTTCAACGATGGTGTTAGAAGTTTGGATAGTGGTTAGCTGGGTTGGAAGGGGGAACGGACTGCAAAGGAGCATTAGGGAATTTCAGGGTGCTGGAAATGTTCTATGACCTTAATCTGGTGTGGTTCCATGGGTGTTTACATATGTAAAGTTTTTCAAGTTGTACACTCACTAGTAATGCGCTTTAACACCACACCTATCAGTTCAGTTCAGTCGCTGTCATGTCCGACTCTTTGCGACCCCATGAACCGCAGCATGCCAGGCCTCCCTGTCCATCACCAACTCCCGGAGTCCACCCAAACCCATGTCCATCGAGTCAGTGATGCCATCCAACCATCTCATCCTCTGATGTCCCCTCCTCCTCCTGCCCTCAGTCTTTCCCAGCATCAGGGTCTTTTCAAATGAGTCAGCTCTTCACATCAGGTGGCCAAAGTATTGGAGTTTCAGCTTCAACATCAGTCCTTCCAGTGAACACCCAGGACTGATCTCCTTTAGGATGGACTGGTTGGATCTCCTTACAGTCCAAGGGATGCTCAAGAGTCTTCTCCAACACCACACTTCAAAAGCATCAATTCTTTGGTGCTCAGCTTTCTTTATAGTCCAACTTTCACATCCGTACATGACTACTGGAAAAACCATAGCCTTGACTAGATGGACCTTTGTTGACAAAGTAATGTCTCTACTTTTTAATATGCTGTCTAGGTTGGTCATAACTTTCCTTCCAAGGAGTAAGTGTCTTTTAATTTCATGGCTGCAATCACCATCTGCAGTGATTTTGGAGCCCAGAAAAATAAAGTCAGCCAGTTTCCACTGTCTCCCCATCTATTTCCCATGAAGTGATGGGACTGGATGCCATGATCTTAGTTTTCTGAATGTTGAGCTTTAAGCCAACTTTTTCACTCTCCTCTTTCACTTTCATCAAGAGGCTCTTTAGTTCTTCTTCACTTTCTGCCATAAGGGTGGTGGCATCTGCATATCTGTGGTTATTGATATTTCTCCCAGCAATCTTGATTCCAGCTGTGCTTCCTCCAGCCCAGCGTTTCTCATGATGTACTCTGCATAGAAGTTAAATAAGCAGGGTGACAATATATAGCCTTGACGTACTCCTTTTCCTATTTGGAACCAGTCTGTTTTTCCATGTCCAGTTCTAACTGTTGCTTCCTGACCTGCATACAGATTTCTCAAGCGGCAGGTCAGGTGGTCTGGTGTTCCCATCTCTTAAAGAATTTTCCACGATTTATTGTGATCCACACAGTCAAAGACTTTGGCATAGTTAATAAAGCAGAAATAGATGTGTTTCTGGAACTCTCTTGCTTTTTTGATGATCCAGCGGATGTTGGCAATTTGATTTCTGGTTCCTCTGCCTTTTCTAAAACCAGTTTGAACATCTGGAAGGTCACGGTTCACGTATTGCTGCAGCCTGGCTTGGAGAATTTTGAGCATTACTTTACTAGCGTGTGAGATGAGTGCAATTGTGCAGTAGTTTGAACATTCTTTGCATTGCCTTTCTTTGAGATTGGAATGAAAGACCTTTTCCAGTCCTGTGGCCACCGCTGAGTTTTCCAAATTTGCTGACATATTGAGTGCAGCACTTTCACAATATCATCTTTCAGGTTTTGAACTAGCTCAACTGCAATTCCATCACCTCCACTAGCTTTGTTCGTAGTGATGCTTCCTAAGGCCCACTTGACTTCACATTCCAGGATGTCTGGCTCTAGGGCAGTGTGAGTGATCACACCATCGTGATTATCTGGGTCATGAAGATCTTTTTTGTACAGTTCTTCTGTGTATTCTTGCTACCTCTTCCTAATATCTTCTGCTTCTGTTAGGTCCATACCATTTCTGTCCTTTATTGAACTCATCTTTGCATGAAATATTCCCTTGGTATGTGACAGAATGTTGTCCACTGGAGAAGGGAACGGCAAGCCACTTCAGTATTCTTGCCTTGAGAACCCCATGAACCATATTAAAAGGCAAAAAGATAGGATATTGAAAGAACTCCCCAGGTCGGTAGGTGCCCAGTATGCTACTGGAGATCACTGGAGAAATACTTCCAGAAAGAATGAAGGGATGGAGACAAAGCAAAAACAACACCCAGTTGTGGATGGGACTGGTGATAGAAGCAAGGTTCAATGTTGTAAAGAGCAATATTGTATAGGAACCTGGAATGTTAGGTCCACGAATCAAGGCGAATTGGAAGTGGTCAAACAGGGGATGGCAAGAGTGAATGTCAACATTCCAGGAATCAGCGAACTAAGATGAACAAGATATTACATATCATTTTAATTC